AAAAGTTTTCTTAATTGAAAATGCTTTTCACAAAAGCACTTTCAAAGACACACTATACAATTTTTATTTTATTTATTTTTATTGTTGGAAAAAAAAATAGTCCTCTCTCTAACCTATTATAGCTGGTTGGTCAACCATTTTCTTCTTTCTTCTTCTTTCTTTTTTTTTTTTTTTTAATTAATTTTTGGTGTATTGGTCAACAACAAATTGTTCTACAAAATGATATTGAAACAAAGAGTGAAGAAACTAAACATTTAGATTTGTTGGTATCCTATGCTCATCATGTCCCCATAAAATGTGCTCAAATGGTTGAGCTACTATACCACCTTAATTGTTGTTTTTGAAAAAGATAATAAAATACATTGTAAGGTTTTACTCTCATTGTTGAAACTTGTTGTGTAGGAAATATGGAGCAGATAAAATCATCATTCAAAGCCGAAGATCATGTAACTCTCCACCTAGTCAAATTGAGTTTATCTCCAACTCAATCGTGTAATTGACACTATATAAACTTAGTTGTAATCTATTTTTAGGGATGAGAAATAAGTAAATAAGTCACGCGCAGAAAACAAACTGCAAACTCTTTATAAATCGAATTGCTCTTTCAAATACATTCAATAATATAACTGTGAACGTAAGCCTTATATTACAAGCAACTGAACAACTTTAAAAAGTCCTTTGGTTTTTTGTGTTTTATATTAATTCTTGCATATTCGTCATCATATCAATATATCGCTGATCCATTGGGATCATGCACACATTCTAAGTGGTTTTAATGTTATCAATCACGTACCTCTGATTGATGTAAATCTCTGCATCAACAAAACTCATTTTCCGTCCCAGAGAGAAGAAAAAGATAATCTAAAAAATGAGTTTTTATGATATGATAAATAACCAAACTCATATAAATGTTTCTACTATTCTATATTTTCTTAATAATTAGATAAACAAAAACATTAATATTAATAAAACGTTGTTATTGAAATCTTAATATTTTTTTATAATATGATAATTTGGGAAAAATCATCCAAGAAATTATGCTTCTTTCATGTTAAAAAGTTATTACATAAAGTTTGATTATGATTATAAATAAGGATAATCAATGCACTTATAATGGTTAATCTTATTTAGATGATTCTTAAATAAACCCTTAATTAATTTACTTTTGGATGATTCTTATTTCACACATGATATATATCAATGTTAAGCTTAATTAACAATAAAAATATTTAAATTATTTTTAATGGTTTATAACTTTATATACATATATTTATGGGGTTGATATGTAATTGATAAATATAAGCTTTTAATTAAAGTCAAAATAGGATAAGCTTTAATTAATGCACTAAAGCTATTGCTACCTCTTTAACAATTGATTAGTAAAGTTGTGGTTCTCAAGACACCTAATATTGTGATTATTATTAAATATTAATTAGATTAAAGTTAAACTTAGTCAAATCCTCATCATATTGTGAAGGACCCTTTGCTTTTTAATTAATTAATTAAAAAACACAAAGTCTTTTAATTGAAGAAATGTGTAATCTCATTAGTGGACTACACATGGCTTTTTCTAAACCACGATTAGGCAAGACCCTAATCCCAATTAAAAGTTAAAAAAATATAAAAAATCCAATCCCAATCCCAATTCATCTTTTTAAATTCATCCCAAAAGTTATTCTGTTTGATTATTCAAAAGTTTTCGAGTTGAATTTTAAATAAATAAATAAATATTTTGGGATTTTGACATCTTTAGTTATGAAAACAATACTTTTAAAATATGATAAATGAATGTCTTTTGAAAATTAAACATGGGTATCAAAAATATTATATATATAAATAAATATATTTATTTATTTATTATCAATCATATGTTTGCATTTGTTAAGGGGAAAATATATAATGTTTTCTAATATAAAATGTAAAACTTTTTAGTATGAATATTAATAAAAAAAAAAAAAAACATAATTTTTCTATAAAATTTTACAAATCAAAAGCTTGATAGTGATAATGTAAAAAGTTTAGCGTTAAAGTCAAACAAGATATTGAGGTTAGTCATTCTTGGATACCATAAATCAAAGCCAAAATCCAGATTAATTTGAAATGAAATTCAAAGTTTTAGGCACAAGGTTGACACAAAGAAGCTTATGATTTAGTGTAAACAAGACTTAACATGGAGTTCCACCAGCTGGTATAATTTGTTAATTATCTGTCAAGGATTGAAATATTCCAAACTAAAATAAATAAAAGTAGTCTCTCTTTGCTCTAAGTTCTATGGAATATTTCAATTAATATGTGTAAAGCTAACATCCCATATATTTTTCTAATTGAAAGTAGTGTTTCAAGAGGGCCAAATTGTGCAGATAAAAGCCACCACATTGAGAATTCCAGAATTAGAATCGAATGATATGAAAACAATTAAATCATGTTAAAAAAATTGTATATTATTGAATTAGTTATTTTGATATGCAAGGGCATTCAGTTTTTTTTTTTTTTTTTTTTAATAATCGAGATGTCCAAGCTAGTTTACGTGCAGTTCAACTAATCCTCAAGGACAGGTATCCCACAACAACCCACTGTTGCGATCTTCAAAGTAATCGTGGGTAAAACGTTGTACCCAGTGGAGAATCAAACCTAAGATTAGGGGTTGGACCATTTGCAGCCCCCTTTGTTCGCTCTTACCGTTGGACTACCCATGGGTGGGTAAAGACATTCTGGTTATTTTAAATTCCGATGTTTATTCTTAACATTAGAATGCACGCTTGATGTGAGACAATTGGCTTAAATTTTTTATTTTGATATATTCTTCTGAAACCCAGAAGAAGAAAAAAAGACGTTTGCATTTAAGAATTTTCATTTTATTAAATAGATTAATATGGGATTGTTAAGAGTTAACATATATAAAATTATAATGCCGTTTAGAATAAAATATACAAACTCAAATTTATAAAAACAATAGGAAGATATTGTCTTGCTTCGCACCCAAGCTTCCGAAATTTTGTTCTTTCAATTTTCACTCGATTTAGGATGGATGCTTTACTTTCGCTTTTGATAAGGCCAACAATTTGGAATTTTTGCAATGCAGAATTTGTTCATGTTGACTCCTCAGAAATCTTTGATCTTGATTAATACAAATTGTAATCCTCAACCTACCAAAAAAAAAAAATCAATAACAATAATAATTAAATAAAAGAAAAAACACACATACATTCTCATATTAATTATTCATATGTTGATCTTATAATATGTCACATACATTAATCTTTTACTTTAAAAATATTCAATTATTATAGGGTCGGAAAAAGTATATATAAAGTATAACACACTTTTTAGGACATTATTTAGATATAATCTGAATCATTCCAGAATCGTGTAAAAAAATACACGACTCTTAAACCTAACTGATATATAAAAACGTAAAAATAAATAAATTTATGAGGAATGTAATATGAATTACACATTACAAATCTATCTTACCTAAAATTTCATTTTAAGTAAAGAAACATAAGGAGGAATAATTAGCAGGAGTTTGGTAAATACGAGCAATAAATGAAGTTTATAATTATGTTAATAAACCTAACATGGGAATGAAATGATTAATGAAAGCTGTTAAAAAAGTGGTGGGTTTGATTAAGCAAAATTGAATAATTTTAATGTGATTTTGAGAGTGACATAAGTGCTCATAAAAATTACCTAACTTGGACAAGTATGATATTGATTAAATAACCACTAAACTTTATCCCAAAGTTGCTCAAATTTTTATTTTTTTTAGGGATTATAGAGTGGAGTATAAGCAAATTAACCCACAATTTGTACACTAAAAAGATGAGTTAGGTTAGCTATAGAGCTAAGGTTGTTAGGCAAAATAATGTTCTTCTGGAGCTACATGGAAGACGAGAAGAGGTAGTGTTGGGGGTGTATTTGCAACATTTTAAACTTGGTGCAATTAGAAAATGGTTTGGTCTTGTTTTGGGCTAAGGAAATGGGTGTACTTCTTGCCCATTGGATTAGATTTCAATATTATGGGCCAAGAACTATGTTTTGATGACACAAAATTTGACATCGAAGAGAGAAAATCTTTCGTACAACAACTGTATGTATAATCAGGTAATTATGAGATAGGTGAATATTACATTTGGGTATGTGGCCGAGCTGGGTCTAGGTGTAATAATTCAAAGACTATGGACATATTTTTAGTAATGTTCAAAATGAATTAAAAAAAAATATCATAAACTAAATAATAGATTTTAATCGAGAACTTAGGTCTTGGGTCGGGTCTCGAATGATAATTTAGCCCTAAATCTTCCTATACTCGTAGTATGGGTTAGAAACTAGTTCAAGAAGATGGGTCATTTTGAACCATCATTGGGTAGCGGAGTAGGACGATAGAAACTCTTAGACATATTACTCAAGAGATTTTGAGTTTGATTCCCCTCGGTTGCTAATAAGGGTGACCATTAGAGGGTTTACTCAATCGTTAATTTCAAGGTCTCGAGGGATTAGTCGATGTGCATACAAGCTAAGCTGGACACCCTCGTCTCACCAAAAAAAAAAAAAGATGAGTCATTTTGTCATCCCTCATTCTTATGAACATCTTTATAAGAATGTTTTTATAAGAGCGCTTATTTTATATAACATTTTCTATGAAGACATCAAATATCACTTCTTAATAAAATGAACATTTCCTTAAATTATAGATTAGAAATAATATCAAATACAAATCCCTCTTACATAAACATACCTCTTCAAAACACACACTCACAATAATCAAAGTTAATTGCTTCCTAAACTTTAAACCATTTGGTTTAGATAAAAATGTTCATAGAATGAGCTCAAGGTAACTATGTTTTGGGTGTCCATATGCTTGACATAATAGAATTTAAATCAATGAGAACTTGAAATAAAAAATAATGCCACATGATTAAATCAATTAAGTACAAACCATGAACCCAATAATTAAATTAAACCTCAAAATAATTATTAAAAAAAGAAAAAGAAAAAAAAAAACCTTTTTCAACGCATCAAGTCAATTCTGATCTTGTTCTTCTTTTTCAGCCAAAATCATTCTACTCAAAGGACTTGGTCCAAGCTTCTTCCTTCTCATCATGCTTCTCCTCCTTATAACTTCCATTTGATTCCTCCTCCTCACTTGCATCATTGCTTCTTCTTCCACCACAAATCTTCTCATCAAAACATCATCTGTCAACGATTTCCCTCGAAAAACGCGCCTTCCTTCCGTGCTTAACCTACTCACAACACTCCCTGTAATACCATTACTGGTATTACCATTAGTGATCCTCTCCTGATATGAGTTTCCAGGGAACGCCTTCGACCTAGGATAGCTGTTGCTTCTCCTAGGAGGAATGTCGGCTCTAAAAACCTCGTTATAGGACGAAATTGGAGCGCACAAACATACGCGAGTGAATGACGTGGCAACCCGAAGGGATGTACATTTCCTCAGCTTTCCTGAAGCTCTATTCCCATTTCCAGGAACTTCTCCAGGGTGCCTGGAAACTGCTTTCCAGAGAGTACAGTTTGCTCCAGGAATGTGATCAGTGGACTTGGAATTGGTTGAAATATTATTTTGTTTCCAAGGTTTTGGATTTATTGCCGTTGTTGCATGAATTTCTGAAGGCTTGGAAATTGTTTTCCATTGGTGAGTTGCCATGTCCATTGCTCTTTGGTACCAGCGTTTCCTGGAATTCCCAAAAAATTTCATGTCAGGAATCATTTCCTGAGCAGCAAAAGTGGGGACTTGTTTTTTGACTTCAATTACAGAAATTAAGGCAAAAATCATGCCAGAGAATGAACGTTGTTGAGATGAGTTTTTGATATCCATTTTATGTGAAATTTTGGAGTAATTTCACTATGCAATTTAATTAAATAAATAAATTACAATAACAATTGTTTCTTGTGATATTTATATGAATTTAAATTCTAAAAATATGCTCATTTGGTAACAAAATTACAGCTCAAATCCAAGTTTAGTAAGGCTAACAATTAAATTCGTGCCTTGACAACTTAAACTTTAATTTGATTTTACCGTATTTTTGTTACAATTTTTTTCATCAACATTAAGTATGTTAATTAGTTTAAGAAAATTAAGGTAATTATTCTAATTAGTTTATTATTAACAATATTTTTAGACCAGGATAAAGGCTATTGACTTAGTCGACAACGCGTTAATCAACTAAATATTCTCTAATTTTGAATAAATCTTACTTTAATTATCTCTTAATTCTAAAAAAAAAAAAAGAATTAGTCAAACATAATATAATTATCTATGTACAAAGAGGAAAAAAAAAATTATTCTAAACAAAATTAATTTAAAGTCATCCCACTAGAAAATATTTTTGATTATATTCTTTTACACAACATTTTCTTAATTAAGCCTTTGGTAATGTTTGCATATTTGATAAATCTAGAGACCTTGTCAAGAGATGGGTTTTCTTTACAATAGGCTGGATATTGGACCCAAAGGAGGTAGCCCACATAGTGGAAATTAGGCCCATAGGGTATTGAACATTTTGAAATTCTTTTCTTTTATTTTTTTAAGAATGGACAATTATGATGGTTCTATGTGGCAGACAAGATGATTAGGTTATTTTAGTATAAATTAAATTATATATTTGAACTTTTATTTAAAAAATTTAGTGATTAATCTCATGTAATATTGTCAAAAAAAAAAAAAAATACAATAATTAATTGTCACTAATAACAAGAGAATTCAATCACACAACATATACAAACATAAACACATTTTTTAGCAAGTAAAAAAACCAATAATATGTATAACAATAAGAAATATAACAAAAAGAAAAAAAAACAATAGTAAACGAACTAAGTTATGACCGATAAGAGTATAAGTTAATATTAATCATGTCATTTCATCTTAATGTTAAGATACTGATCTAATAACATTATCGAATCAATATGAATTACTTAATTGAAAACGTTTATTAAAAATCTAGTAATACCATAATGCGAAATACCCTTTTGCCAGCATGCAAAAATGAGTTTGATTTTTGTTGTTGTAAGAAATAATATGAGAAGAAATAATGTAGAGAGAGAGAGAGAGAGAGGGGGGGAGATATTATTGAGAGCATTTTGAATATTATTTGATTTGCATACCTTGAGTGAGAGCTCTTTGGATCTTGCATGAACAAAGAAAACTTGTGAAGAATGAGAATGAGGAAGCAAAGGAGCAAAGAAGTTTCATTTGGGAAATGGAGAGAAGAAGAAGAAGAAGAAGAAGAAGAAGGAGGAGGAGGAGGAGAAAGAGTAAAAGGAAGAGAAAATAGAGTTAAACCTTTTTGGGTTCAATTTTGTGAGAGAAAGATGATGGGGTTGGCATGCAATATGCTAATTCTTTTTTTTTTTTTTAATTTATTATTAAATTATTCATTTATTTCTTCCAATTCTTTATTTAACTCTCTCTTCTTTAATTCTTTCGCTTTGGCAGGCATGATTCCAATTGATTTTGAGAAAGAAAGAGTTTCAAATTTCAAAGGGCAAAGTAAGATAAAAAATTGTTACTTTTCATGCAATTACAAGGCCACCCTCTCTCTCTCCCTCTCTCTTTCTTTTACTACTTTTGATTTTTGAAAGCGAAAGCACTTCTCTCAGAATCATTTCTTTAGTTGAAAAAATTTAATTTCAAAAGTATTTAAATATTTAAACCCCTTTTGTAATCATGTTTAACAGAAGTTAAAACATGATTATGAGCAAGCATGAAAGCATGTAAGATGAATTAGAACATTGATTTGGTTTAAACATGCTTGGCCTGCCTTTGTGCTACAACAATCATTGACAGTCAAATCAAAGTAAACATATTCTTAGTTTTAGGTTTAGTCAATACATCCATTCATTCTCTTTGGTGGGTGTTTGCATTAAAATTATTTAAATCCAATTTTACATGGAAAAAAGTACTAATAAAATGTTAAAATTTATGAAATTTCTTATAAATTTTTATTTTTTAACACTTCTATACTTCAATATTTACTCATATTCTCTAGGTTTTTTTTTTTAATAACTGAGATATCCAAACTAATTTTCACGTACCTCAACTAATCGTCAAAAGAAGCTGTATATCTAAGTTTTTTTTTTTCAAATGTGGGCAATTTTTTTTTTTTTTAATTCAAACTCCGGTTAAATGGTGTTATAAACACTAACAAACAGACTTCTATAGTTCTTAATATAAGTAAATTTAACTGAAATTTTGTCTTTTAATACTAGATGACACTAATAAACAGTTTACCGTATATAGTCATCTAACAAGATCTATATTTTATAAAAATGCAGGCGTTTGCAGGAGAAACATTTTGATTCAAAAGAAAGAGTATATTATCTTATTCAACGTTCAATATATTCTGCTTTAAAATACCATAAATAATCCCTAAAATTAAGTGTACTATACTCAGAATCTACCTAGTAAAAACATGCTTTTAAACCCAATAAAATTAAATAAAATTTTACTGAAATTTAGTTCTGATTATATAGCCTTTGATAGATAGCAAAAACCATTGATCTTTTGAATTATAAAAAAAGCTTCAAGCCAAGTGTTGTAATATTGTGAAAGATTGAGGCTATAAAAGGGGAGCCTAGTTAGTAGTTATTGTATATAATAAGTCTGAAAAGGCTGAGAAATATAAATTAAAAAAATGAAAATTGTTGGGTGTGTGTGGGCAAGTTGAGTGGAGTCTGGTGATAAATAATTTGCCAATGGATGGCATCATGATTCATCATCTGTGGGTGGTGTTTATATCCAGAAACCCTAAAAGCTGCTGCAAAGAGGAAAAAGATGTGATGATTATTGGTGTTGTTGGATTCAATATTAACCCCAGTACAACTTAAATCTTTTATTATTATTATTATTATTATTATTATTATTATTATTATTTTCCTAAGAAAGAAAGGAAAAATAGTGTTATGAAACTATCTCTGAACGATCAAATAGTTCGATAGAGACTCTTAGATGTATTACTCAAGATGTCATGAGATCAAATCTCTTTTCGGTTACTAATAGGTGTAGTCATTAAAGTTCTTATTTGACCGATAGTTTCAGGATTTCAAAAAATTAGTCCAGGTATGTATAAACAGACACCCCCAGTCATCAAAAAAGAAAAAAACAATGTTCTGCCATATACTTTATGCAATGTTATTACCTAACGGTACAATTTATGATGTAAAAATATTAAATGGGTCGAATCAGTTATCGTATGAAAACGTGTAGGATAGTTTAATTTAAAAGGTGGATAACAATATTATGTTATTTGGTTAAATGGATGGGGACTTTAGCTCTAGTATGGTTATTTTAGTAATTTACATTTGTGTTTTTAAAAAAAAAAAAAAAAATTTGAAGTTTTCTGACATCTACCACTTTATAATATTATCATGCACATGAGATGAAGTTTAGGTTATTTCACTAATTTCATTTTTTTATTTTTTTTTTTTTTTAGTTCAATTTATTTGCTAGGTTTTGAATATAAATTTTTCTAACATAAAGATAAAAATGTTTTTATATATTCTGATTTATATCTGAGTAAATGTAATGTTTAACTTATCATGAGTGGTCGAATGCTAAACCGGCATCCTTTCGGAAGAATCTGAACTCCTGATAAGGAAGAATGTCGAGATCTCATATCAAATAAAAATAAATAAAACTATAAGTTTGGGTAAACATTGCCTGAAAACTGTTTGGGTTGTAAAACCCTACCAATGTAGAAGCAATTCTGGCAACCCACTTCATAAAAAAGAAGAGATAAAAGTTGAATTGACAAAAGTTAAAGCAAATTGCAGATTTAGTTTCATACATGGAGCGGAGGAGGTAGTAGAAGTGCTTTTTGAGTCAAAAGTGCTTCAGGGTTTTCAGCATCTTTAGCTTTTTTTTTTTTTTTTTTTTTTCGTACATTGTAGACCATAGAAATCATTGTGTTAGATGGACTTGGAACTAATAAGAAAGCGCTTCTTCCTCCTCTCTCCCCACTTAGAGAAGAAAAAGCACTCTGTTTAAGTTCATAGACTTTAGACACTTTATTCCTGAATTTAAGGTCTAGTGAAAATATGTGCAAAATCAGAAAGAATATTGAATGACTTCACTTTAATTTGGTTCACATAATCTAAATGCAAACATCATAAATTTAAGTTTTTAGAAGTCTGTGTCTATGACCACTTACGGGCACTTCAATTAATCTTTTCAGGTCCTGAAGTTAACGACGAGTAAACTTTTCAATGGTTACCCGTATTAACAACTGAGAGAATCGAATTCAAGACCTTTTAAATAATACACCAATAGTCTTTATCACCCCCACAACCCCACTGGTCACCCTCCGAGAATTAATGATATATTTATAATATTTCAAAAAAAAACTTACAAAAAAGATCAATGTTTTCAAGGTATTAGACTCTTAAAAGAGTCAAGTATATATTAAAACTTATATTTTGACAGGTTCATCAAGATACCTTAAAAAATCGTTATTTTGGATAAGTCTTTTTATTTATTCAATTTTACACTTTTATAAAAACCAAAAAGTATAAATATTTGTTTTATAATGACAAACGATTAATTTATAACAGTAAACAATAGTGACCACCAATGATATATATTCCTATTTACATTAAATTATCAAAAATATCGATAAATCTATAATATGTAATTATTTAATAAAATAATATAATAAATTTTTTTTAAAAAAAAAAAGAGAAAAAGTAAAAGGTTGTAAAGTAATTTTGTTTGTTAGCCCATCATGAGAAACAACAAAGCAATAACAGTGCATTGTGGCATGAACACGTGCACTTTCTGACATTCATCAATGCCAACATACCATATGGTCCCATCACACTCAATGCTTGCATCAATCAATTTAATTCCAACATTCCTTCCATGAAATATTTCATCTCAACTATCGGATTATAATTCAATCAATCATAATTTAATGCATAGGAGCAAAACTTGATTCGGTTCTTGTTCTAGGTACTTAAGAATAGAACCGGTCGGTTTTAGGTATTTAAAAACCAGAACTAATCGATTCTGATTCTAAATCCTAAAAATTGATCGATTCCAATTCTGTTTTCGATTCTTCGAGATTTGGGCAGATATCTAAACCAAACCTGTCTACCTTTAATCATAACATATAATATTATTATTATTATGAGATGATTAAGTTTGAGTATAATTAATATAGAGAATAATGATACTATAAACTTATTATTCCATAGATAACAAGACGTTTGCCATATGAACATAAAAAACTTATGAATTCAATTAGATTTACTGATAATTGATAGATATGAGATGAATTATAAACCCTAGTTGTTTTAGATTTGTCTTAATTATAATTATTGAAGAATTATTTCGATCCCATTTGAAACAAATTTCACTTTAATGTTCAAGGGAATCAAAGTTCTTAATATTCCAACCAATATATGATTTTTGTATCTGAATGCTCCATCGGTTTGAAGCCGATGCCAGTTTTGATCATGAGAAATGCAATTTCAACCATTCAAATTCACGAACTACACATGGGAAATGGCTCTGAAATAAATTCTTTACAAACATAAAAGCAACATGACTTAACTTGTGCCTACAGAAGTCATTCATCAATGTCCAATGACATAAAAATGCTAACTAAATCTTTGATTCAATGCGCTCTCTCGACCCTGTCAGATCGTCAGAGCTACACTTCACAACCATGATAGGAGTTATATAGAACCAGTCACTCCATTAATAAGACCAAGATAATCTAGTTGCCATGAGCGTGTAACTACCATTAATATAATCTTCCTAAAGCTTTCATCATTATCGACTAATTGAACCGGTAAAGATGGGAAATGTTGTAAAACTCACTGGCTATCAGGCTCACCAGTGCCTTTCCTGTTCCAACTAATTCCGGGACCAGCTTTGCGTTCCCCTCTCTTTCTCTTGTTCCGAGGAAACTGGAAATCCGAGGCTAAACATGACTTTAGAGTTGATTGGTCCTGAGAAACTGCAGATTTTGCCACTGGATCAGGTTCTGGGGTGGGGACTTGAGAAGGGTTGGTGCTTTCTCCTTCTTCTCCTTTCTCCGGGTCATGCTGCCTCTCTATGGATTGATTGCCTGTCCTTAAGAACGTGTGGTGATCTCCTTCGGTTCCATCATTTTGTATCAGGATGTTATCCAAGATCTGCAGATATCATCAAAATGTTTAAAGAAAAATGTAACTTATCGGCTTCCATATTTCTTAGCATTATTTCAAGAAGCACACTGTGGTCTAAAATTAGACTGTTACTTATATCTGACAGCTCGAAGGATTAGTATAAGAGTAATAAGACACCTAACTTGAAATACAATGATATTTGATCACGTAGGAAGAGCGAACTCCAAACTCAACAAAACCACCATTCAAGTTTCACCATGCTAAGTTATATGGAAACTTTAGGTGTTGCCTTCATCTGAAAACACAGTTCAGACTCAAGAATATATGCGAATAAGAATGACAGGAGCTAAAATGCCTAGCAAATGTGCATTCAAAGAAATTCAAATGCTTAGCATTAGTATTTGAGATGAGGCACCCAATTATCAATCCACATTGCGGGACAAAACAAGATAATAATGTGACTCCGGTAAAACTGATGTCTCTGCACTTAAATTAGACTAGAAGGAATCGATGCAGTCTTTCTATGAGTGCGAGTTTTGGGGTGCACGGCCTAGCAAGAGTTTTAACAATTTTATTATATTAAGAAAGACATAGAGTTATTATATTAAAAAAGCTTACATCTTCACACGAATCTCCAATCTGTGGCTGATGGAAAGTAACGTCAGCTGCAGACAACAGTCCTACTGTGCTTTCAATTATATCAGGAACATGAATGGTCTCCGCATAACTTGAAATAGCATTTTCATGCATTACAAACTCTCCAATATCATATTCCGAAATATGTTGAGTTGGATTATATATAGCTCCCACTGATGTCATGTCCGCATTGCCAGCTGAGAATGTAGGACTAGGAGCAGAGCTATTCTGCGCCTCACAGGGTGCAAGAAGGCTCAAGTTCTCAGAGGAAGAGAACTTTGAGGCATTTTTGGACATGATTATGTCAAGTTGACTCTTTAGCTTGTGAACACGAGAGTGCACTAATTCAATTTTCATAAGGACCTGATCCAAGGAATTGTCACCATCTTTGAACTCGAAAAATAATTGATCATCATTACTGCCAAATTTATCAATGCAATCCGCTTGTTGGTCCATACTTGCTGCCACAGCATAATAAGAAAATGACAGCATTCAATGTCGATATCAAAACAAAAAATTTGACCTTCAAACATGCATTTTGGTTCAAATAGGCTTCACAACAAGATAATAAACATAACTAACGTTGCATAGGCTACATGGGTAGCACACAGATAGGTATATGAAGTACTTTATTGGTTATGTAGACACAAGCACATTGTGCATATGAAGTAGGAAAAAGAAAAATCATCTACTTTTCTCTTTTACCTGATAAATTAGTATATTAAAGTAATCAGAACAATAGGCTTAATCTTCAACCCAACAACTTAGAAACATTCACCAAGACCAAATCCTAGATGCCAGGCAGTTCTCAGAACTACTCAGGTAACTTGACATTTTATCACGCACAAAAAGAATCAATGTGCAGAATAAATTATTACCTGTGTTACCAAAATCATTAGACATAGGATTGCCATCTGGATTGGCCCTCTTGCTTTCTGCAAAATTAGACATTAACATTATCTTTGAAAGGATGGAGACAGAGAGAGTCGATAAGAATGAAGAAGGGGGAGATGGAGAAAGGAAAAGCACTCACACCAGGGGGTACAATTACAAAGAAGAGGTTTATACCGATATAGGAAAAAAGGTTATGACGTGACATGTATGACATTAAGTCTGCTGTGTCTTCAACTCTTTTTCTTCTCCTCCTCTTCATGGCCTTTTTTCTGTAGCCTTGACTAGAAAATGGCAAAGACTTTGACCCAAACCCTTCTAATGTATCTTGGTTGATTCTTGAGAGTTTTCTCTGGTCATATACTGCAAGTTCTCTTGCATATTTCAATGCTTGAGACTCAATCTCCTTAATTTTCAGCTCTGCCCACTTGCAACGCCACATAATAGGACGTATAAAGCTCCTCCAGTGATTTGTCAACTTCTTCTTCCTAAAATCAATGTGAGACAGTTCAAATATATAAATCATTTAGATACTATGTCAGCCTTAAAAAGTATGATTATTTTGTAATGACACTTTCCTAAAATTAAAGTAGTACGCCAAACTCATAAATAAACTTTGGTAAAAGGGGTGATATAAGAATCTGTGTCAAATAATTCTGTCTTCTCCTCTTATAGTAAACAAAATCTTTCAAAAGGACTAAATTAACAGTTTAACCACTCAGATCCTGGATGGAGACAATCAAAAGGCCACCAGATAAACAAATTTAATAAGCATAAAGATACCACTCAAAATAAGGTAATCATTGAATGTAAATGTAAGATTGAGTATTAACTTGGAATAAGACAGTACTGAAGACTGCATATAAGTCTTAGATAAAAATTGTTTTGTAAGTAATAATGAAGTTCCTAGTCGAAACTATCCATTGGAACTTGGAACAGACACTCAAGGTTTGAAGTAAATGAAGTTCAGGTCATCAAAAGTTTTTTTTTTTTTTTTTAATAAATTTCTATTTGTAAGTTATAATGAGGTCCCTAACTTAAAATCATATACAGAAAAAAAGCATTGAAAGCATTAATTTCAACCAAAAAAAGGTTAATATAATTCATTATTGCACATTCTTTAAAATGATGTCTAAAAAGGTTCTGTGTTTTTCATCAGGAAGAATATGTGATCAATTCTTTATCATTTTGGAGTTTCCTTAACAGACAAGATCAGTTGTTCGACACTAGTACAAGGTACAGAAAACATATGTGATGCAACATACCTAACTTGAAACATGCTACTAAATGAATCATAAGACGATCCCAAACCACTGTGATCAAAATATTGTGATTCCACTTCGGCTTCACTCAATCCAGAACACCTTTCAGCATCAGATTCAGTGTTGCCAAATGAGCTTGAATATTCAGTCGCATCAGGATCATCAGCTTCAGCCAATCTAGTTTCACCAACAGTCGTACATTTAATTACATCAATCTCCATATCCTCGGGGCCCTTCGGAACTGTGATTTGTCCATTCAACAGAGTTTCGTTCCCAGTTTTGATTTCCTCACAATCATTCATGCAGCTCAAACCGTTCTCATTGGAGTTTACTAAGATGCACTTGCTTTCCTTTTCAGGTTCAACAGGTGTAGTATAACACGGTTCACTGTCTGGATTGATATCCATCACCGGTTGAGCAGGGGCCATGCCACAACGTCACCGAAACTCAATTCATTTTATTTATTAGTAAAACTTCAAAAGAAATTCCTTTATAATGAGCCTGAAAAGAAACTGAATCAGCTCAGATCAGTGAAGAAATTTAATTAAACAGTTCAATCCAAAATGAGTAAGACAAGAAGAATATCAAATTTCTGAGAAGTACTACAATGTAGACAACAAAAGACGCTTTTGCAAATAAAAGGAACACCATCCCCTGATGCAGTGGCATAAGTGGCTCTACATGTAATACTATCAATTGCTAATTCATACTACCGACAAAAAAAAGGAAAATATATCTAATGGAGTTGAAGAAATAGAACACATTTTGATGCATATTGTAATTCAATTGTCTAGTGAAACAGCAAAAAAAAAAAATAGTTCTAGCATACAATTGGTAAATTGAACACCAAAAGAATGTATATAAAACTCCTACTATCTTCAAAATAGACGTTAACCTCAATCAGCTTAAATGTAAGAGTGCAGGTAACCTTCACTGACTAATTGCTTTATGATATAAAAAGCAATAACTAAACACTTGGGAACAGCCAAATTTCAACAGGACTATCACTGTTGCGTGCTCATTCTAAGGTAATCTATCTTTCTAAGCTTAATATAGTTCAAATACCCTATTATATTACTGATAAAACAGATATTGGATTTTAACATCTTGTATGCAAATTGAATGACAGATATTCAAGACTGGCCTACAATTCCCTTCGTGTTCGTATACAAAACTCCCCCAGCAAAAAATTGAAGCAGAATCACCACTCAATCAACTCCAGTTTAAACAGAAAACACTTCTCATTACAAAACCAAACATGAAACCACAGCAATAAGCATTGCATAAGCCAACCAAAATAAATGCACAACTTTCATTCATATAATTGAAAATATGCAAACAAGATTCAAAAAAATTTCATACCACAACCAAACTAACATCATATTAGTAATATTCAATATCAATTAACAACAAAGGAACAAAAAATTTACTTTGTCATCAATCAAACTTGAATATTACTAACATAACGTTCATATTATCAGCGCTACGCTACACAATATCATAAGCATATAACAAAGATAAACACCAAGAAGCAACATAGCCAGCTAGTCTAACACCCAAGGAAACCTTTAAGTAAGTAGAACAAAGCTAAAGAAGAAGAGAGAAGTTGATATGTATAAATATATAAACATATATATATAGAGTTGCATGCATACATGTGAAAAAAAGAGAGAGGTTAAGAGAGAATGTGAGGAAAAAGAGAAGTACCCAGCTGAGGAAATGAGGAGTTAGAGATGGGAAGTGAAGAGGGAAGGCAGGCGGCTGAGAGTGAGAGAGGTAGAAAGCGAGACAGTTGAAGACAAGAGAAGGGAAGTTGACGTTAAATATAAACCTAAAGAAAGCTAAAGTGTTGGTTTTGTTTGCAAGAGAAGAGTGAGTGGCAACCAGAGTCATGAAAATTACTTAAACACTTTATTATAAATAATTTATCTAGACTTTAATAAATTTTTTATTCTTTAAACATAAATTAAAGAGTAAATTTGATTTTCCATATCTAGAGAATTAAATTTTACTGTTTATCTTAATTTTAAATAATAAATTACAAGTTTCTATGTATTTTATTTATGATTTATCTTTCATATTAAGTATTTTATTTATGATTTATCTTTCATATTAAGTTTTTTTCTTGAAAAAACATATTCTCTATCCTAAGATTTAAAGTGTCTATTAGATTTGAATTAAAATTTTGTTTTTTATATTTAAAAATTAATGAAGATACTCTTTATTTATATGAAATATGCTCTTTAAAGTAAAGAGTATCATTGGAGATGCTCTTACTATTACTTATTATTTTTTGACACTTGGCTTTTTTCTATTGGTAACATAGATTTTATTTTTTGCTTCTTTACTAAAAATAAATAAATTATTTATCTTTCCCTTATGAGTAATAATATGCTTGGGAATAAATTCTACAACTGAATCATATAAACAGACAAAAAACAAAGGACAAAGTGATCATTTTACATAAATTTTGTACATTATGATCACAGGGTTATAATGTTGCCTATTGTGTCACGGTAACTATTGGAGTATGGATTAGGGTTACACTACTGCCTATTGTGTGACGATAACATTACTCTATTGGAGTATGGATTAGGGTTACAATGTTGCTTATTGTATCATGGTAACGTTACCATGTGTGTGTGCGTCTTTAGATCAAGGATATCTCATTCTTGGGACAAAAAATTATCTATCTTCCTTGATATTTGGATTAAAGATTAGAGTTACACTAATGCAGCTGGTAACGTTACCTTATGTGATAATCTTTAGATCAAGGTTACCTCGTCCTTGGAAAAAAAAAAAATTTATTTATATTTCCAATTTTTGGATTGAGGATTAGGGTTGTAGTGTTGTCTACTAAATCACGAAGAAATAATGTTACCCTATGTGACTGTCCTTAATCTAGGTTATACAATAACAATCATTTGTTATACAGTAATATTATCTCATGTGATATAGCTCAAATTAAAGTCCAAAAGTTATTGCTACCTTTATCTAATGGTTGTAACTGTTAAGAGGTATCATATTGGAAAACATCGAGATAACAACAAAATAATATATCCATTAGCTCACAATCTTATGATTTTTAAACAACCTTTTGAATCACATACCCGTGCAATTATCATTCCCTTATAACCTTAAATTAATTCTTACATCTATATTTACATGTGATACATGAGAAACTTATTCTATTCCTCGTAGCACTCTTGTTTTCTATATTTCTAATAAGATTCATATTCTTATAACAATTTTATAAGGAAACGAGCCACAATATCTTAACAGTAACAAGGGTAATATCACCTTTTATACTTATTTTAAAGAATTGTACTGCATTATTAGTCTCAACACAAGATAATATTATCTTATCGATCTTAATTGTTATTGATTTAGAGTAAAAAAAAAAAAAATTGGTATACTTTTTAAACTTTTAATTTAATGATACTTTTTGCATTTTAATATAATTTAACTACACTAAACTCTTAACATTTACAAAAATTAACTTGAGCACCAATTCAAATTTCAATCCAATGAATTTTTCAATAATAATAAAAGCAATAATAATATACTTACAAAGATTTCCATATAAAGTGAGGCGGCAAAAAAATGAATGGAAGAGTGAAACAAAAAGTTAAACTCATTAAATTCATTCTTCTATTCATTTTTTGCCACATTACTTTGTATGGAGATCTTTATAAAATTTATTTGTAAGTGTATTATTACTAAAAAAAACTAATAAAAAAAAAGAATTACCTTTATTATTTTCACATAAATTCCCTTAAACTTGTTTTATGACATTAATATCAGTAATACCAATACCAGCCTTACTAACCTCCCATATCGACTGACGTGACATATGCATTTGGGACAAAAATTTGATACATTTGGGGAGCCAATTACGGGTTTTTTTTTTTATCAAATCTTATTTTTTTTATTTTTTATTTTTGGGACCGATTGACATATCAGCTAGGTGACATGACAGCGGAGGTGGCATCTGTCACGTCCATTGTTACGAGAGATTAGTAAGACTAGTATTATTGTTTATTGACACAAAGTTAATCTTCTTAATATTATTTATGGAATAGAGGAGCTTTTCCTTGTGTCCCATTGACAAATGGTGTGAAATCAAAGTGGGAAAATTAATGTTCCAAAAATTTGTTGAACCAAAAGAATTGACAATTCTTGGTCTTGGAATATCCTTCGAGACTTAAAATTTATCAAGCTGGATATGTTCAAAAGTAAATGTGACATTTAGAGGATATTCTTTTATGCTTTTGTTTTCAACTTTAAAATCGAAATGAAAAGAATGTGTGGTGTTAATTACATATTAAAATTGAAAAAAAGCAAAAAAAAAAAAAAAAAAAAAACATTTTCTTCGTATTCCTAAATATTACATATAAGAGAATAAAATTTGTTTCTTCAAAGTCTTTGTTCGTACCTAAGCAAAAACATAAGACTAGAAGTCCAAAACTGAAGTTCAGACTACAATCTCATGCAGAATTTAACATCTAAACACACATTATTAAATACCCCTCAATATATTTTTAGAAATTACAAAAAAACCCCAGTAACCCATATTTACCAGATTCCGACCACCGTCGTCAGAAAATGATCGGAATCTGGTATAATGGCGCACTACCGGCTGAATCTGGCTGGTAGTGCGCCGATCTAGCCTTTTCCAACCAAATCCATTAGAAAAGGCCAGATCTAAGGCCTTAGTCAATCGTCAACGACGGCCAACACATGGTCGTCGTTGACCATCAACGACGGCCGTATCTTTAGCCGTTGTTGACGAGCAAATACGGCCAGATTCACCCGTGGATCTAACCGAAAAAGGCCATCTCGGCGCAAGACCAGCAAGATCCAGCAGTTCATGCGTAGATACGACAACTCCGACCACCCTCCGGCGGTGGTGGCCGGCTGTCCATATTTAATGGGTGGGTTGGGAGTGTTTTTGTTAACTTTTAATGTTTTATTATAGGAGTTTTTAGTAAATAAATAAACATAGGGGGTGTTTAGTAAATAAACAAATATAGAGGATATTTTTATTTATTTTCAAATCCTACATCGTAATACCTACCTAATTTAACTTTTTTTAACTTTTTTCCAAAAACTTTTCTAAAAAGTGTAAAAAAGTGAACCAAACGGAGCTTTAATTTCTTAATATTATTTATGGAATAGAGGGGTTTTTCCTTGTGTCCCATTGACAAATGGTGTGAAATCAAAGTGGGAAAATTAATGTTCCAAAAATTTGTTGAACCAAAAGAATTAACAATTCTTGGTCTTGGAATATCCTTCAAGACTTAAATTTATCAAGCTGGATATGTTCAAAAGTAAATGCGATATTTAGAGGATATTCTTTTATGCTTTTGTTTTCAACTTTAAAATCGAAATGAAAAGAATGAGTGATGTTAATTACACATTAAAATTGAAAAAAAAAAAAGACATTTTCTTCGTACTCCTAAATATTACGTATAAGAGAAAAAAATTGTTTCTTCAAAGTCTTTGTTCGTACCTAAGCAAAAACATAAGACTAGAAGTCCAAAATTGAAGTTCAGATCACAATTTCACGTAGGATTTAACATATAAACACACATTACTGATTATCCTTAGTTTTTACGAAATTATTAAGTCGAGAGTAATATTACAATTTTTTTTAATCCAATTGTTGTACTCGATATCATCAAAAATTACCTTAAACCCTAACTCTGTTTTCTCAAGCTTTATGTAGTTAATTGAATTGGGCCCATGGGCTTCCTCAAGTCCATATTATTTGAAGTTTATTTGTTGGGATATTAAATGGGCTTTGTAATATTTGTTTGTCCCATTAATCTTTTACCCTAACATTAGTAACATGTCCCCAATTTCCAACTAATAGAACACAACCTAAGCTATGGCAAACGAGGGTCCATCACCATTTAAAAGTGGTACGAGTAAATATTATGTTATTTTCAATAAAAAAAAAAAGTATATTACATCATTCATACGGTAGAATACTAACATCTTATCTGTTTATATATTTATTATCTCTCATTCGCTTAGTCGACACAATGGTTAATTAATTTTGAAATATATATATATATATATGGATCTTAATAAATTGATGTATGGATGAATGTAGGATGTTTGATTTTTCTAAAGGGTGTTTTAGTAATTTTATTAATATATATACAATGGTAGAAGGATTTTAATATTTATTGGACAAAAAAGATGAGTTTAATATAAAACATGTCCCATGAGAAAAATGAAATAAATTCTACCAACAAGTAATAATATAATTAATACCCAAACCAAGAGTCATTAGTTATCATGATGACCACTCTTAATATAGTTGATTATATATTTATTTAGTTGACCTTCTAGAATGTTAAGATATTTAATATTTCTAATTCTAATGATCTTAAAGTTGAGTACAAAATTGAAGTTTTTATCAAACCCTAATGGCACGTCACATCTAAAATCACTAATGAATAATTTAATTTATTTGGTTTGAGCCAACTTAACTTAATAAATGCATTTTTTTAACAAAAAACACTTTCTTAATGTCCAATAGCGAACTCTATTTTAAGACAAACAATACCTACATAATCGAATTAAAGTCTTATGATGTTATACCTCAAATCAGACAAATCATATATTCGGATGATTTTATTATTATTGTTATTATTGAGACATAATCAATGTCTTTTTGACAATTTTAACCCACCTACCTTAATTGACTTTCCTCCTTTTTCCAACCAGATTCACAAGCTTAAGCATATTCTAACCTAATTCCAACTTTTGATTACTTTAATTAAAGGATTGGATCTAATAGCCTTGTCCTAATCTAAATATTCGATTTGTCTATTCAATTAAACATACCCACCCACACGCTACTTTTCAAGAATATTCAAGTTTTTTACACACATTTTACCAAAAAAGAAAAAAAATTATATGAAATAAATAAATATTTTTTATATTCTTAATACCCTAGGGGACTTCATTAAAATTGACCAATAATTTATTTAAAAAATAAAATAAAATATAATTTATTTAAACAAGAAGATAAATAAATAAATTGATAGTCTTGTCCATGCTTTCACTTTGCATTTCTCTCCCATCCCATGCATAAAATTCAACGACAGTTATGATTTTTAAATTCGATTTCCCAAAAATACCCTCAATACCCGCCAAATCTACACACCAAACAAGGAGGTAAAGCCGTAAATTATGTGAAATCACAAGGGTAACCCTCACAAAGCTATCAAAATCCTGCCATTCTCCATTTTCCAGCGTTAAATGTTCGCCTCTCCAACGGTCCGAGGACCAATTTATGCTCTTGACTATCCTTTTTCTTTCCAATTTTCTCGTGAAACAAACTGGGAAAACTCAAAAACCCTGGGAGAGAGTATAGTACGAGGAGCTGAGTTTAGACTGACGGCGACTACGGAGATGATGGTGATGATTGAAACGGCGGTGGAGGTTCTGGTGCCGTCATGGTGGGAGGTGAAGGTGACGGTGGCGGCGTCGCTGTTCGTGATCTTCGCGTACTGGTTTTTCTCGAATAAAGCGGAGGATTTCGGCCTTGATCGAACGCTGGGTGCCGAGATTGCTTCGACTGAGGCCATGGACGACGCGGACAAGGTAAATTCATGTGATTTAGTTCGTTTTGATTGAATTCTGTGATTTGACGAGGATTTTATTTAAAAGTTGCGATTTTGATCCTTTAGAAGACAAAATCATACTTGAGAAATTTTTTTAGACCCTTTTAGTTTTAAGAAATGGACAAAAACCTCCTATGAACAGCTGAACTTGTTTAAATTAAGTGTTTTTGGTGATTAAACTAAAAATTAGAGTTGATAGTGATCATGAAGATGATAGAAATAAAGTTTTAGTTCTGGTTAGAGATAGAAAATGGAGAAAACAAATCAAAATTTGAAATCCGCGTCGTTGCTAAGTGGAGCTTTGAGCATTAGGTATGGTTTGTAATTCAACTAATGCTTGGGTTAGTTTAATGTCGGCGTAATTGAGGAAGATTTTTTTCTTTTCTTGGGCCCTTTTGGTCATATTGTTAATGATTGTTTCATTTATTATATTTCTTATTTTGGGGTCGACTTTTGTGATTTGTGGTCATTTAGCTATTTGGAATGACGGAAATTTGACATGATGTTTGATAGCTTTGGCCTTTGGTTGCTGGGAAATCATGGGAAAAGGAAAGTAGTTGAATTGTAAATGAGGTGTACTCGACATAGCTGAGTTATTGCTTTCTCTTGGTGTGGAAAACTGAAACAATACAAAATACTGTACCTCAAATTTCATGGAAAGAGAGTGAAGAATACTTGTCATGATATTAATTAGTAAAATAACAGTAATGGTTCTTGCTTGAATGTTTTATAATTTTAAGTTTGAGGTTTGAGCATTTCGTACTTATCTCCTCATTAAATGTGTTACTCTTGGTTTTGTAAGTCATGACTATGTTGCTGAAGCTCGTAAATATTATAATGTTTTTACATGAGAAGATTGGAATATTAACTGCGTTGTAACACAATATTATGCATGCCACTTCTTCATGGAGTAATTTTCCACTTCTTTGACATGCAGTTCTGCACTTATTTTGTAGATAGCCCAAATGAAAGGAGATTCTCAAACCGATTCTGCATATTTAATTAAGGTACTTTTTTTTATCTTGTAGATGTGCTTAATTATCTTATATGTTTGTCATAACACAGATAGTATGTGCACTAAATGCTATTTCTTGACTTGGTGTTATGGATTTTCCTTTTGGTCACAGTAAGATGTTGTGTTCTCTCTTTTTCAGTTGGAATTGTTGGCAGCTAAGAATCTTATTGGTGCGAACTTAAATGGGACATCAGATCCTTATGCTATGATCACTTGTGGTTCAGAAAAGCGGTTCAGGTTATTTGATTTGTTTTCCTTTCAATTTCTAAATGGTTGATGTTTTATAATTGATCTTTTGAATTTCTCTTCAGGATTGGATCCAAATGGATACAATACTCAGGTTATCATTCTTAGATTGCACTGCAAGCAATATGCTTACATTTATCTTAATGATTTATATATCATTTTAACTTTGTACTGATGCAACCATTATCAACTTTAATATTAAGGCACCATAATATTTAGGATCACCAGCTTATGATTTCAACCCTAGAATGATCAGGCTTTGTAACTGGACATCTAGGCTATCAGAGAATACAGTTTTGGGATTGAGAGAAATGCTTACTGTTTAGAGTTTGTAAGGTGGATGGTTGGGATATTGCTTTCCATCTTGAAGATTTACCATTAAGGTATATGATTTGCCTTTTGCTTTTCATGGCTTGTTCATTAGATCGATTGAGTTTAGGGTTCATTTAGATCTATTTCTATTGGGGATCAACTGATAGACTCAAGATCTCAGTAGGCTGGATGAACTAACCATCAACGTTTTCTCCATAATTTTAAATGATAAAGAGAAAATCTGCTATATAAATCTAAATTTGTAATATAAAGATATGTTTGAAGTTCTAAACTGTCGAAGTACTTCTACTATGCTCTGGTTAAGGTCCTTTTTTTTTTTTTAAATTGTGTTTCCTCTTTCTCAAAGAGACTAAGAGAGAGAGAACACGATTCCAAAACCAACCTGACTATAACATATTAACATTGAATTACACGGAGACGATATATTAAAAAGAAAAGAACAACCACGTCAAGCTACCAGGGCCCAAGTTCTTTAGGGTACACCCCTCTCCTCAAGTTAAAAAGACATGATGAGCTTCCTGCCCAGGTTCCTTTAGTAACTTACCACTGTTACTGTTCTTTTCTTTCTTACGTGATAGAACACCACCCACTCCAGGACCCATCACTAAGGTTTATAAGATAAGGAGGTTAAGTAGTCATCAGGCCTTTTGGGAAGGTTGTTAGCCACGTGGGTATAAGTCTGGGCATATGACCTGTAAAGGGAAGCCTGTAAAGGGAAGAAAAATGTTTTAGTAGGAAATTGTTGGGAGGTCCCTAGCTCCTCGAATTGCTAGACTATCCTATATTTTCTTTTTCGTCATCCATTTATACTTGTTCATGAGAAGCTTGTTATTTCCGTTTTCAAGTCAGATCAATATAGAATATAGCAGTATTATTCAGAAATCCCTTGTTCATTGAATTGTTTATCTGTGTTGAGTGATTGAAGTTCTGGGTTCCTAACAAAATGGCTATCAGTTTGAGGGTTCCTAACATTACACCACATTGATTTGCATGGAGTTTTCAGTTGCTGAATGATGGAGGTCAATATCACAAGTCTAGTTCAAAGCTAAGCTGTTTATGTACAAGAATACTAGCTATCAATACAACTAAACATTGAAAACTTATTCTTTGTTTTAAAGATAGCTTGAGCTGAGGTGATGATGAAGCCTGCTTCTATCTTATCTATCGTGGCAGTTGTGTCTTCTTTATATTTTTCCTGGACGGATCATGGTTTCTCTATTTGGTTTTAACTCTCATGTACTTCAATGGGGAATAAATGTTAACCTTGTTTTTGGATCAGACAATGCTTTATCCGCTTCAGATGTCCTTAAGATATTTAAAATGTTGGTTAATTGTTAGTGTCTGCCCAAAAATGGTTTATTCTGTCTACCTCATTCATCGACCTGGTCATTGGAACTAACCAATTTTTTTAAATAATATATTTCAAAACTATTTATATTCATCACTAGGTAAATAGTGTATCCATCAATATGTTTCCTCTAGTGACATTTGTTGTTATGATTAAATGTAATATGCAGCAAGAGATCCAGTAAATTTATGTGTAGAATAATGAGTCAATTAAGATATTTTTGGTGGTGATTTGATTTTTATAGTATAGTTTTACTTATTGTACTGATATTAGTTTTACTGCCGTAGCAGATTATTGTGACAATATATGACTGGGATATAATTTGGAAAAGTGCTGTTCTTGGTTCAGTGACTGTAACAGTTGAAAGTGAAGGTCAAACTGGTGCAGTATGGTATGCATTAGATAGCCCTTCTGGGCAGGTAATTATTGGTCCTAAATACTATTCTATTCTTATACTATTTTTTGTTATTTCCTGGCTTGTTTAATTTTCATTCTTCTTCATTTATCCGGAGGTAAATAAAAGTCTTTTTTCTGCTTGTCAGGTTTGTCTCCATATTAAAACAGTAAAACTCTCTGGAAGTTCTTCCAGGTATCCTTTTTGTTTATTTCATACACACACACACACATCAACATACTCCATTTAGACCTCTTCACTAAGGCATTGCCCTTTCATAACGCTGAGTTCTTTTTTTTCCTTTACTAGTAACTTACTATTGGAATTTTGTACTGTGAGGAATTCTCAAGAACATATTTTCATGCTTGTTTACTTGTTAGTTTAGCATTAGAAAGTGTATAAGGAGTGTTCAAATAATGGTTGGAAAGGATAAAGAAGTTTTTTTGATGGTTTCTTGAATTCTAGCCATGTATTGGGTCCTGTGTGCTATAGGTGTTTGCCTTGCGGCATTCCAATGGGTATAACAAGAAGTCCTGTTTTACTTCTTTGAATCTGATCAATTTAACATTATCAAAGACAATTTTGTGATATCTTAGACCCTCTCAATAATGGAAATTTAGAAGTTTTTGAGAGAGAGAAGGTTCTATTCGGATGTTTTTCTATTAGTGTTGAAAAGTGAAGGAATAATAGCCTGTGTTCTGTACATCTTCAACTTATTAATTAACTATTACACAGTATGCATTTCATGTGTGTGCATGTGTTGCTGCATTTGGATTGATTGACATAATATGTAGAAAATGACTCACTTTGTTATGATTGTATAGATTTCTTCTGCCTCTTTGAGTATGCTTGGGACAAAACTCAAGATTCAAGAAATTTCCATTTAATAGTAATTTTCTAAAACCCTTTTTTGGAGAATACAAAATCATTTTCCGATGTTGCCTGGAAACAAATACATGTTTAAGTGTTTTCATTTGATATAGAAATAATTCTCAACTTCTTGTTTTGTAAGTGCTGTTTGTTTTTCTTCAAATTAAATTAGTTAAAAATTAGATAGATATTATGTAAAATTGTTTTATAGATGCTCGAATTTTGGAAGTATGAAACTCAGTTTCCCGTTTCATTTTTCATATTCATATTTTGGATACAGATTTGTGAAACAATATTGGATGACAGTTAAAAGATTTCTTGGTTCTCTTTGATTTTTTACATTCAATACGGCTGAAAATGTGTTTCTGGTTGTACCTTTTGTTCTTTATTCGTTTTTTTTTTCTACCAGATTCCTCTTAAATTGACATTTATTACAGTATCATTTCCTTCATAGCTTTTTATAAACTAAGAATCAATATGGTTTTGTTAAGTCATTTTCCCTTTTAATGCTTATCTACTATACTGCAAATTTTGGTTAAATTTGTTGCCATCATTGTTGTTGCTTTCAATTTATATGACAGATTTTTAACTGACAGGGTCATGAATGGGTATGCTGGGGCTAATCCTAGAAGAAGAGCTTCTTACGATAAACAAGGGCCAACAGTGGTACATCAGAAGCCAGGGCCTCTGCAAACAATATTTAATCTCCTTCCGGATGAGGTGAGTTGCTCAAAATTCATGTCTTGTCAGATTGTTTATCTACTGAGCTTATAATTAGTAAATTTTGAATCATGGATAAGAATGAATTCTAAATTTCTTGTAATTCTGCTTAGAGAGCTGACAAATGAAAAATCTGTTTCAGGTTGTTGAACGTAGTTACTCATGTGCACTTGAGAGGTCATTCTTGTATCATGGCCGTATGTATGTCTCTGCATGGCACATATGCTTCCATTCTAACGTGTTCTCAAAGCAAATGAAGGTTAGCAAGTCTTTCTTTCTCACCATCATTTGCTAAGTTCTAAAAAGTTTTATTTTTTACCAATTGATTTGATGCATCTAGAATGTGCATGTGTAAGTTACTTTTCATGTTCTGTTTTTAACCATTTAGGAAGAAAAGTTTGGATTTGCTTTTGTTGCGGTCAAGTTAGAGCATATGTAAAACATGATGCTTTGTTACAGTTCCTGTGTATGCATGCTTCTGTGTATATTTTGGCTTCTAAGATGCATATATGTCTTTGCAATTTTTTTAATCCCTGGAAATCAACTTTTGAACATATATGATGCAATTCCATGATCTTTATTGGACACGTTTTTAATTGTAATATTTCATTTATGTATCTATGTATGTTTGACTTGGTGATTATCCAATTTCGGGTGAAATGGTAAAATGATGCTTCAAAAATAATGTGCTTCCAATGTTTTCTTTACCTTCAGTCTGCGGTATCAACAAGGCGCGCCAATTTGAATGTCTTGACATTTCTGTTTGGCTTTGGGGAATTATTTTGGACTTATCTTGTGCACAGTTGAATACAGTGTGAGCTTCTTTGGTATTCATGTATATTACTAGCAAATATTGAACAACATTAGGCATCCTATTTATTTATGCAAAGGTAAGCATGAACAAGAAGAGAAAGGTCACTAGAGTTTTTAGATCGCATGTAAAGTTATAGCATCACAAGTGTCTGCAGAATTTAATATAATTTCTCTGATGTAATTTGCTTTTGATATATTTTGTTTTCTGTATCATGTGCATAGTAGCTGTGTAATAGATCATAGGTGTTAAGCCTTAGAGGCCTTGTTCTTCTCTATATATGAATAATATCCCATTCATGCCACATGGTTGATTTGGATAATTTTCTTCCCTGAAAAATCCCCCTTTCTGACTATTTTTTAATGCATGGCAGGTGATTATACCATTGGGAGATATTGATGAGGTAGTCCCCTCCAATATATTTCTTTTGAAGATATCTCCTTCAGAATATTTTCTTGTTTGATGCCTGTTTTGATGAACACTATGAAGTGCTTACATGGAAAGATTTTTTCGGTTTAACAGATACGTAGGAGTCAGCATGCATTCATTAATCCTGCTATAACAATTATTCTTCGCATGGGTGCTGGTGGGCACGGTGTACCTCCTTTAGGGAGCCCTGATGGTTAGTAGCCATTTCATTGTTTAGAGTGGCTGCATTGCTTAGATCTCCATGGGATTTTTACTGAGTATTCCTTGAAATATTGTATTTATTGTTCTTAAAAATTGAAATCTTACTTTGTAGTAAAACATGTATACATGTTTGGGTCAGTCATTATCATGCAATTCCATAGAGAAGCACATGATACATTTTCAGTTTAAACTGAGTTGCTGTGATGTTTTTATATAGCCTTTATCTTTCTTGCCATTTTCAGGTAGAGTCAGATATAAATTTGCATCATTTTGGAACAGGAATCATGCATTGAGAGCATTGCAACGGGCAGTAAATAACTACCATGCAATGTTAGAAACTGAGAAGAAGGTCCATTCCTTGTACTTTATAAATCATCATTTCTCTAGCATCTCTTATTATTTACCTTTATAAGACTGTTATTATTACCACTTGGAATAAGGTGGTCATGATTTGAAAACTGTGAAGGGATTTGAAACAATCTTTTACTCATCCTAGAAACAAAAATAACTAATAGTGGTCAGCATGGAAATTAGCAGTTTGTTGTTTGCTCGAACAAAATTAGTCTGATATGGACTTCCTGTCCACAAGTATGTGCCGCTTTAGTGGATTTAAATATCAAATTTCTTGTCGTGTTTAAATAATTGGCTCAGTATTAAAGACTCTAAACCATAAGGCATGGCTTTATCTGTACATTTTGAAAGTGCCGATGCTTCGTTTGTAGTTTGGCCATTAAAGTATTGTATAGTTAATGGCTGTGATTATAGTTCTTGAAATTTCTTCTAAGCAAAGATTGATTTAATCTGATTGGAATTTGAGTTTGTCACTGTTCGTTGTCTAATGAATCCTTTGTATCTCCCTCCTTGGGAATTATATACTCGTTGGATGAATTGTTGGAAGCTCATGGAAGACATGCATTTGGCTATCTGGCATATTTATGATGAGGGTAACCTGTGGCAGATGCTTTGGTTAATCAAGGTTACAGTATGATGATATTACTTGTTGAATTTGTCCTCTTATGGAGATTCAAGCCTTGCTTGCTTCTGATTTCTGGTGTTCCTATATTTTGGTGTTATGCATTGGTAGTTGTTTTTCTTAGATATGAAATTTCTTGTCATGTTGCGAGGTTTTCAGGAATCTTGGCTGCTATGACATAATCAACTATCATAAATAAATTTCTTGTAATTAGTTTTATTTAATGAGAAACAAAGACAAATTTGCTGAACTTTTTCTTGGCTGCTATGACATAATCAGCTTTCATAAATGAACTTGGATAAGTTCAAGCCATCCCAGATATATATTTTGCTGAACTTTTTCTCTGAATTTTTTTATTATACCAAAAGAAATTTCATTCTATCTTTCGTACTGGTTTATAGGAGAGGGCAGAATCGGCACTGCGTGCACATAGTAGTTCTATCAGAGGTAGTAGGAGACAGCCTAAGGTTCCTCAAGATAATGTGTCCAAACCTGAAAAGACTCAAGCATTTATCAAAGAAGAGGTTCTTCTTGGTATACATAATGTATGAATCATCTTTTTTTTTTTTTTAAAATAAATTTCATGAGATCAAACATTATGCTATTACCATTATCTCATCAGTAATCTATCTTGCAGAGTGTTTTCCCTTGCACAGCGGAACAGTACTTTACTCTAATTTTGAGCGATGATTCTAGTTTCACAAAGGAGTACCGCTCACAACGAAAGGATACTAATCTTAATGTAAGTTCAAGTTCATCATAATAAATTACTAATCCTAGAATGCTATCTTATTTTTGTAATCTGTTGTTTGGCCAATCTAGTTTACCTGCCCATACCAACCTAGAAAAAGAAGAAGACACTTAACAAAAAAAAAAAAAAAAAAAAAAAAAAGAAGTAGAGAATCTTAAGGTTTGGCATCCATGATTTGAGGAACATAATTAGAATTTGTGATGATGATTGTGAGCTTGAGAGGGAAAAGGATGAAAATACCTTAACACACATGACCACTAGTTCATCTCGGCTTTAATATGATGTTAAATTACCACATCCGAAAAGCTTAACTCGTAGGTAATAGCCTAACAATGATATAATTAATCATGGTAGGTAAAATATATTTAGTCACTGTCCTCTGAATTGTGCTATTTGTGGCCCGAAAGATAGAAGGGGTTTCAAGAGATTGGATATGCCATTTTTTTTTTTTTTCCTTTTTCCCCCTATAATATATCAACAGAAATGTGAAATAAAAATATTCCCTTAAATCTTTTCCATTCCTTTCCGTCCAAACAACATCATCCAAACAAAGTTTTAGAGATTGGTAAAACATTAAAAAGTGAAGTTTTCTTCTGTATGATCTTCCAGATTCTTTGGGGTCTACCCAGGTTATCTGTCTTGAGGGCCATGAACTTATTAATCAAAGAAGGCTATAAGTTCTAAATTAATTGTTGGCTGATATGATCTGAACAATATTTGTTTACTATTTTATGCTATTTCCAGATTGGACAGTGGCATGCGGCAGATGAATACGATGGTCAAGTTAGAGAGATCACATGTAGATGTCTCTGTAACAATCCCATGTGTCCCCCAGACACAGGCATCTCTGAGTATCAGCATGCAGTCCTATCACCAGATAAGAAAACACTTGTGCGACCATGTCTCATTGTTCTTTTATGTTTACATTAAGAAAATAGTAGTTTTTGTTGTCTCTTAACTATATTCTAATAAGGCTCAGAATTTTCTTTCTTTTTATTTCTGTCTTATGAACATCAAATGCTTACTTGTTTATCACAAATCTTAATTTTTTAATTAAAATTGTGATCCTTATTTTAGGTTTTTGAGACGGTACAACAGGCACATGATGTTCCATTTGGATCTTACTTTGAGGTATGAAATTCGTCTTAGTCATCATACTTTTCTTAAAAGTTTCTCATTTGACATTAGTTTTAACATAACTTAAATACGTTCGACGTATTCATATGATTTATAAGAACTTCAACACTAACTAGTTCTCTTATGCTGATCTGAGGTTTCTCAATCAAGTGCTGAGCATTTCTTAATTATTGCTCAAGCCAGAGATTTATTTCAGGTTCTCCATTTCATATGCCTAATAAATCTCTGACTCCCATCTAAACTATCATAGCTGTGACTGCTGTTTGACACGTGATTTCTACCTTATAATATTGTATACTTTGAAAACACACAATTAGTGTTACTTTATGTTTCTGGGTGACATTGAATCAAATGAATTACAAACATTGTGCCTAACAGCTTACTGATCTCTGCGAAGTAGTCCTGTTCACAGCAATGGAGATGGATGATATGTGAGAACCTGTTGTGTGGATTGTGGTTGATGTGCTATTCCTGTACCAGAACATAACACTCAGGCGTCACACTTCAGACTGATCTAAATTCAGTGTTATGCTTGAAGAATTTTAAGATCTATTTAGAACTAGTTATCTTATGCTGTATATTATTTAATAACGGTTTATTGGATATTACTTTCTATCCACATCATTCGATGTAGCACTTCCATGTTCATTTTATTTTGGATGACAAGTTCACAAATCTGGTTATATATTTTTTGCTTTATAGTGTTCTAATATATAAGGATCTTTTCTTTTAATTTTTATGTCTAATATTAAATTTTACCTCAGTAGTGACTTCTATTTTTTCTGCTGTATCAGGTTCACTGTCGGTGGCACCTTGAGACCAATTCTGAAAACACATGTACTTTAGATATTAAAGTGGGTAAGTTTGAATAGCCTCTTTGTTTCATCTCTTCGACTATATTTCTACTAAATCCACTAGACTCTAGAATTTCTGGAAGACAACTTGATGGCAATTATTTTTTATAATTCCATTGATTGGTGTCAAATTTGGGATGGGCCGAAAGATATTGATTGGTTAGTGTTGCTCGAATAAGTCAAATATAGATCTGGATTGCGTTTTGCTTTACCGTTTTGGTTCCAGGGAAGATGTGTTCTGCAGTGCTTTTTTTGTTCTGAGAATGTGGAGGTTTCAATCCCAACAAACCCCACATTATTTACACACAATACTATTACTATTTTTTATAATGAATCTTGTCTATTCTTGTTTCTACATCAGGTATTTTCATGAAATATCGTAGATGCAAATTACGTTGTTGTTCTATTCAGGAGGTTAGCTGATTTTTGCAATATCTACAGGTGTACATTTTAAGAAATGGTGCGTGATGCAATCCAAAATTAAGTCAGGGGCTGTTAATGAGGTTGGTATTTCACGGATTCGATCATTTTTCTTTCTTTTAAACCTTTATTTCGTGACAATGATGAATTTTCAAATGGGCAAAAAAATTAAAATTTCATCTTAATTTTTATGGTCACCTTGTAGCACAAGAAAGAGTTGGAGGTGATGTTAGATCTGGCACGTGCATATGTTAAGGCGCGTACTTCCGGTGGTGAGTCAAATAAGCCGTTGCCGTCGCCCTCTTCTACTGTGACACAAGATTTGTAACTAATATTTGATTAGCTTATTTTTTGGTTTAGTGTTATTGTAGTGTTCTCTTGCAATCGGCCTCGATCTTTTTGTTCTTCATTCTCTGCTTAGAAATAGTGTGTGCTGCTTTAATGCTCTTTAATGTTATATCAATTTCTTTTTCTGCTTCTCATTCTCCTTCTTTCGCTCTTTGACTCCTGTTCGAATGTAGATTTTGATCGTTAAGAGTGCACGATTTGAACTGTTGTGCACATTTACATGAAGTTGCCGACATCCTGGCTTGTTATGCCGGAAAATAGTTACTGTTGGGATATTTGGCTCAGAAATTCCTGAACTGATGTGATATCCAGGTTTGAAGACTCCTTGGCTCCGTTTGATTGGTTTTTGGGAATATTATTATTAGTATTCCCAAAAAAGATAAACAGTAAAATACCAAAAAATTCACAATATTATCTAATATTATTCAATTTTTTTTAAACCCTTTAAATTTATTAATTTAATTAAATATCCCTAAATATTTTTTTTTTCAAAATTGAAAAAACACTCCTAAACCCACATTATACCAGGTTCTAGCCACCACTGTCGGAAGTTGATCGGAATCTGATATAATGGTGCACTACTGGTTGAATCTGGTCGATAGTGTGCCGATCTAGTTTTTTCTGATCAAATCCACGATGGATCTGGTCGGAAAATGTTATATCTAAAGTCAAAGATCTGGCTGTTGAAGGCCAGATCTTTGGCTGTAACCAGACGTCAACGACGGCCAACATATGATCGTTGTTGATCATTTTGGTCATCGTTGACGGGCAAATGTGGCAAGATCCAGTCGGACATGTGTCGATACGATAACTCCGGCTACCCTCCGATTGTGATTATTCAATGGGTGAATTGGGGGTGTTTTTGTTAACTTTTAAAGTTTTCTTATAGGGGTGTTTAGTAAATAAACAACACATAGGGGGTATTTTTATTAATTTTCAAATCCGATATTGTAATACTCGTCTAATTCAACTTTTTTTAACTTTTTTCAAAAAAAATTTCTAAAAAATGCAAAAAAATGAATCAAACGGAGCCTTTAATTTCCAGAAGTCTTGTCTTTAAGGGAGAATCTTGGCATTTATCACATATGCACCCTTACTTCCCATGAAAGGATTTAATTCGCCCCGATAATTTATCTTAATAAAACCCATTTTTTATTTTATCCCGTTAAATTTTTTTAAACAAATCTAAGTGTCTAAATAAACTTTATCCATTTACAAAATAACCCTTTGCCGCAATATTTTTTCACTTAAATTTTCTCAATCCTTCTTTACATATATATATTATATTATTTATTTATCTCCATTTACATATAATCAAGCATAAAATAGCTGTACATATTGGTATCACATATGTTTTCTTAAAAATAAAAATAATAACAAACTCATAAATTCTATAATGCACAAATTAATTGAAAGATATAAATGATAAATATGATAAAAACTAAACTTAAAGAATTTAATATATATGTGTTATCGATCGAACTCATTTCATCTTTGATTATTTTAAAATATAATTAGATTTATGACGTAGAAATGAAATAGGATTCATGCTTTTGATATAGCTTATGAAACCAACAAAAATTAAACCCATTTACACCATATCATTCGTTATTTATGCAGGCATAAACTCATGAATTTTTTTTCATTTATATTTTCATGGAATTATATGATTATATAATGTTTACAAGAATTATAATCTGGAGGACAATACTCAAAGCTAGAAAAAATAAAAATAAAACAAGTTTATTTGTATTAATAAACGTCCACTTTCACGATCAACAAATACTTTTTATTAAGAATAGCTAGAAATATATGAGAAATCGTCCATGACTAAGGATAATTAGTGAAGCAACAAGTTAGGTAATGATCGATACTTGCGAAAAATAAACCTTATACAAACAACATCGCTATTTGTCGTCGCATTATAAAACGACACATCTATATGTATGGATAAACATGTAATTAGACTAGTATATGCTATAAGTTTGATAGTCTATGCAACAAAAAATATGTCATCAGAATAATACAAACCTTAACCCTCTAGTAGCACAGAAAAATCATTGGAGTTCACATATCGTAAAATATTGGCTTGATTTATCATTGAAATATAAACTTTGATATAGATACATTAGTGACACACAATTTCCAAACAAGAGACTGTTAATTGTACAAATAATTTCAATTACAGAATAATATAAATCTTAACCAATCGTACAAGTTAAAAAAAATTATTGAATTAACAATCAAGGATTATAAACAAACATGTATGTGCCATGATTGTCCTTTCTTGAAATCCTGATAAAAACGATAGAAAGCAATATGTCTTCTTTTCCAAAAAATTACACTAGTCGTCGACTTAGATTATTTAATGAAGCGTATTGAACAATTTTAAAACGATAATATAGAGCCTATCAAGATATCTTATTTGGACACTCGTTTATCCGGTTTTGATTAAAAAAATTATAGCAATTTCTTTTTTGCTTATTCTCTTTCTTTCGCATTTTACTCCCATTCGAACATAGGTTTAGACCGTTAAGAGTACAGGATCAAATTTGAATTTTCATACAATGTAGTATGATACAACTAACCAATCATAGAACGAGCACAGTTACATATGATGATGCAGCATCTATGATTGGTCGGTAGTATGTTCACCTATTGTAAAGAATTTTTATTTTATTTTTTTTAATTGGATGGTTCAGATATTAACTGATAAGATATCCTGAACATTTTTCCTGGAAAAAATTTGCGGAATACAAATGGAGGGTCTAGGCAGACTATTATGGGGGTGTTTGTTTGAGCTTATGAAATTAGTTTATAAACAAGCTAATTTTAGTTTATAGCATTTGAAATTTTAAACAATACGGGTTGGTTAAAGTACTTATAAGTGACTGATAAGTAGTTGCAGTGGTTGGTTAAAGTACTATAAGTGATGTAAGTAGTTGACGTAGTTAGTTAAAGTACTTATAAGTGATGATAAGTAGTTGACGTGTTTGGTAAAATGTGGCTTATAAGTACAGTTTATTAAAAAGACTGAAATATACATACATTAAATAAGGGTATTTATAGAATTTTAAAATTAAACAAGGATAATGTGGTAATACTTGGTCAAACTAGCTTATAAGCAGAGTGCTTATAAGCAAAAAAAAAAAAAAAAAAAAAAAAAAAACTTATAAGCTCAAAAAAGTTATAAACAAACAGGTCAATTTAATTTTAGAGCTTATAAACTAATTTGACTAGCTATAAGCTTAACAAACACCCCCTATAATACAAGAAGAAATTTCGCTCTATGGATTCGGGTTTGAGAGGAAGGTATTTAGTGATCATGAAATAAAGTTTGTACGAAGGAATTGGCAATGCAGAAACAGAATGTTAGATGGAGTGCAGGCCTGGAATTTTCAAGGTACCATGGAGTTCAAAGGGCCATGAAAATCCCTGTTTGGAGAGACTTTAATTTCCACAAGTATTATCTCTATCATCCTGCTTTATTTATGTTTTTGATCATAACTTATAAACCCTACCAAAATTAGATAATATCATTCATTCATACATACACGAATTGCATATTTATGCATGTCGTCATTCTCTCGTGCAAATGTTCATATATTTTATAGAATTTACTCTTGTTCAATTAATATTATATGATTTTATTTTATTTTGATAAATTTGGTAATTGTCCCTACTCAAATATAAGACCTTTGAATATAATATGAATATATTTTACGATCGAGAAATATTGAATAAAAATTTATCTTATAACTTGATAGTAATAAACTATTAACCTATATCTGTTTGTAGCAATACTTTCCTGTTTATCACAAAATATACTTCTTAATGAGCAACCAACTTCTCGTAGGCTTCTCTAATATATTATAAAATATAAAAATACCCATTGTTATGCGGTCAATCCGGAGAGGATAATTCCCTATTACGAGAGAAAATATTTAGATTGACTCAATTTGAAAGGAAGATATTCAGATTAATTTAGATTCTAACTAAAGTAGCCGAAGATCATGCAACTTCTTAATCCTACGTATTTGAATCTTATCTCAATTTTATTATGTAAATGAGTGCTATATAAACCTATCATAACTTGTTTTCAGGGGGGCTGGGCAATTGTTCTAAGCAAATTTTCCTAAGAATTATATTGTTCTTTGTACGCTCTAAAAAACAATAAGATAACAATGGACATAGGCTCAAGTTCTAACTTGCCGAACTACTTTAAAAATCTCTCTGACATTTACTTTATTGCATTTATTATTCATCCACTACTGGTTATCCATAATCATGCGCACATCCATTCTGATTCCGACAGGGTCAATCAAAATTCTCTGGTTGGTAAAGATTTATGTATCAACACCCATAAAAATATTTTAAAATAAGTTATATCGAACACTTTTCTATATATACTTTACGAAAAATATGTTTCGGCTTATCATACATCGATATCTCTCACAACTACTATTTGTTTCAAAATCTCTTATTTGACCTATAATAATATCAGTAATATTACACTCATAAACCATTTTCACTAATTTTCTTTCACAAACACGATGTGTCAACTCGTAATTGGTCAACTCACAATAGATATCACCTACCCAAATGCAAACGGACTAATTATGAACTGTCACATCAGTGTTTGTTTGTCAACTTATCTTTATTCTAATAATATATATTTAAATTTAGAAGAAGCTAAAAAATAGTCTTTAATAAAATAAAATTTTAATCCAAACACAAACTTGTGGAGAGATGGAGCCACGAACGACCCATAACAAATTTATAAAATTTTAATTCACTTTGGTTGACACTGTTGAAAATAAATTCTCAACTCTGTTCACAAAAACAATTACAGCTTACATAATGTATACGTTTAACTTATTATAACATATAAAAACTACGTCCCTCACTCGAGAATAACACACAAATATAATATGGAATTCACATATGGTAAAATATAAGCCGATATCACATTGAAATGTAAACTTTAATATAAATTTAATTTCAAATGACACAAAATTTCATATACAAAGAGTCTTGTCAATTGTTACAAATAACTACAGTTATCTACCAGGTGAGGTGGGGTGGGGTAAAGGCCTCTTTCAGGCTTCAGTTTCTACCTGTGAATGGTGAGGTATTCAAAAAAATATATGATAAAATTAAAAATAAATAAATAAAAGTTTGTACAACAGAACATTTTGCAAGCTAAACTTTGAGGCTAGAACCAGGAAAATAAGAGCCTGCACAAATAATCATCCTGGTTACTAGATTAAGGCAGGCGATCATGAACATAACGTCCGTTGAGACGAATCAATGCTGGAATGCTGATAGTACCTTTCTTCCTTTTGCTTCGGTAAAATGGATACACAGAAGATATTGAGTAAGCGAATGAACAATTTTTTTTTTTTTTTTTTTTTCTGAACTAGTAGTCATCTTCAAGATCAAAAGTATCGTCTGGATTTTCATAATCCAGTTCATTATGAAACATTCCTTCTGCATCCTGCTCATCATTGTAATTGTCTTCTCCGTCCAGGTCGCCATTTTTTAAGGTATCATCCCACTCGTGCTCTTTTTTCCCATTATTGGCCAACTTGTCATCATTGTCGGAATGTGATTCAGTTCGTGATTTCTTTGTATTATTTGTATCCTCCTGCAAGAAAAAATGAAGAGTCCCAACATCCACATTAATTAGACTTTACTTAAAGTCTACAGATGCAAGAATACTCCTATAATGCTCCCATAATTTCAAATTATGAATATCAATAGAATTGGCAAGAAAAAAAAAAAGACCTCACAATTAGAGCATGTGATGAAGAGGAGGGAATTACCGACTTCGATAATTAAAAGTCAAAAATTATGATTATTGAAGGGTCAAGATTCAGCAAAATGAGTCCTTCACTACTAGTTTTTCTCATCTTCTATGTGCAAGGTTTTAACTAACCGCATTTAAAAGGGAAGAAAAGATAAGTAAGAACTTGAATATACTAATGCGAATAATAAACATACAGAATCCTCAAAAAGTTTCTCCAGCACTTCATAGTTGATTTTTGAGCTGAGTCTCTGCATATAAATCACATTGATAATCATCAATAAAGAGAGAAAATAATCAATATGGTCCACAGAAATAAATCAACCATAAAAAGGGACTTTCATACAAATGCAAACATATGTCAACGCATTTGCTCTAACAATGAATTACTAAAGAGAGTTCTCCAAAGAAATCTGGTAAAAGTAAGTCCTCATAGAGGAGACTAAAATATTCAACATATAGTGTCCGGCTCATTTTGGTTTTGAAAAACTGGTAACTAGGCCTTAGGAAAGTCATTCCATTCTCAAAGTGAGATCTCTTATGAGTTCCAAATTTGACAAGTGCTTGTCCAGAGTTTAGAAAAATAAGATTCAACTATAGCAAACGATTTCGCTTCAACTAATCACGACAACAAAATGAGAAGTTTATCTTTTTGTAGTTGTTCTAGAAAAGAGTTCCAGTCTGGTTTGGTACCTTTTTATTCAGCATTTGGCGAGTGGCTTCCAAAGCAGTCTGAGCAGGAGCAGTATTTTTTGCTTCTGCAGCTCGTTTCTGTTGTTTTTCCTGCAAACAGAAGATCACACAAAACATTTCAAAATGCATATTTTGAAGACAATTTGTGAAGTAATGATACCATTTTCTGAAGAAGAATAAACTAAAGCAAAGTAGAAATATGATATAACATAAACATACACATACACCCTACCATAGGCGTGCTAGAAATTTAAAACTAGAAATTGAAGTGGGAAAATATTCTAGCTCAACAGGATTGATTGAATATTAAATATATCTGAAAATACCTTCTTATATTTTGCCACATTAGCTTGAGCAGCAGCTGCAAGCTCCCTCGCAGCTTTTAATTCCTCGGGATTGCCATTGAAACTAGCCTCAAAGGCTTCTCTAGCAGCTGCCGCAGCTGCTTCCTTTGCTGCTTGTTCCTGTATAAGTTTATAGCACAACGCAGTGCAGGCGGAGATCAATAAAAGCCCAATTTATGGCAGGGAAAACCGAAAAACAAATCAAGAAAATACATGTGCACATTTTAGTGTGTTTTAGCACCAATCTTCAGACATAGGGGCAGACTAATTATTAAAATCAACAAATTTCTTGAGATCCAATCTAACCACATAACAAAAGAAATACTTACACCTCAGCCTTAGACAGCTCAAGATGACCAGCAATAAACATATTCACAGAAAATATATCCAATTAAATACATTTTTAAAACCCAACAAGTTTATTGAGTGATCTCTTGAACTTTTGGACACTATCACTTGATTTATATGTCACATCAAGAATTACGGATGTAGAAGTATCTACAGAACTTTTTCCTTTTTTTTTTTTTTTTTTTTTAACAAATAAATTTATATTGAATATGCTTTAAGAAATCAAGGGTTCAACAGATTACAATTCATATCACCTCAAGATACTCCCTATTCATTTCTTCCCAAATTATCTTTTTGAGATGCTGCTCCTCCTCATTGTGAAGGTAAGCATCAACCTGAGCAACAAAGTTGTACAAAATAAGTCTTGATCCATATAATGAGTCGTGAATGAAGATGAAGTTCTTAACTTATCTAATAAGTAAAGAAATCCACACGAAATTATAACACATATTTAAATAAGAAATGGCCGATCAGGTAGATCTATAGCAGCTAAATTGACATGATATATATTTACAGATATTATTTATGTTAAAATCACTGTAAAAGTTTTATGCCCTTCAACTGATCAATGACACAAATGAAAGAACCTCAGAAACACTAATATGGCTAACTATTTTATAGTTTGTTCTTTTTCTTTTTGTTTTCAGCTCCTTTTGGAAGCTTAAGAGCATACCTGCCCGATCCCTTAAACGGAGAAAAAATGAACCCTTTTTCATCAATGTAGTAAATCTAATTCCTTAAGCAGAGATAGATGTCTTAAAAGATACAATAAAGGATAATAGAACTTAATCGCACACCTCAAGATCATCAATGTCAGAAAAGTTATCTGATTCATCTGAAGCTTCAGTACCAGAATCATGTCCAGGCGACTTATTATAATCATCCCCATTACTCGTTGCCTGCTTTGTACCAGCTCCTGAAACCCCTGTAACATCATATTTTCAAGAAAGGAGTTAAGCACTCCCAACAACTGCCGTTGCAAATCTGAAACTAAAAATTGCACTAATGCTTCACAAGAACAGAACAGAATAACTTGCCATTACTTTCTGGCTCTACAGACTTTACTTTTTCAACCTTGCTCATAACTGGGCTATCCAGTTCTCCCTCAACCTACCCATAAAAAGCCACAATGAAAAAAGAAATCATGTTATAGAGGAGCTACTGTGACTATCTTGGAGATGAATCTTAATAGAATAACATGCAAGAACAAACAAAGTTATATATATATATATATATATATATAACAATTCCATGGTATTGAAAAAAACAGTCTTGCCCAAGATTATGACAAGCAGAAAACTGAACTCATGATTGTAACATTTTGAGATAATCATGAACCAGAAATAAAGTTCCTGATGTAATAGAGCAAGGTTGAAAGCCAACCCACCATTCACTTACCACCTGTAAATTGCACATAAAAGCAATAACAAAAACAGTTGATGCATGAACTAGAAAGTTGGCTGGTAAATGGAAATCGAGTAAAAGATTATCCAGTGAATATGATTGTTCATAGTCGTTTAGCCTTTGGGAAGGTTCAGCAACAACACTTACAATTGCATTTTCCTCAGCAGATGCTTTGGCAGTTCTCTCTCTTTCAGCAGCCTGGAAAGCTGGAGGATCTGATCCTCCCTCAAGTCCTTCTGAAATTGTCATAAACTGCACCAACCAGTAAAAAAAAGGACCACGGTTCTCAATATAGATGCACTCACTTAGTGACAAATATGAAAAGTAATCAGGAGAGAAAGCACACTTACTTCATCATAACAACTTCTACAAAGCCCGTATGCAAACGGTTTACCAGTATCCTTATGTTTACAAAGAACCTCACTTAAGCCTGATTCTTTTGATACAGTATTGAGGTGTTTATTTGTGTAGCTTCCTTGCAGCTCCTTATTCCTAGACACGAAGTCCTCAACCTAATCAAAAGAGAAATTGATGTGGAAATTTTAAGAAATATTAAGATTGTAATAAACCAAATCAATACATGAAGAAATAAAAATATTAACTAAATAAGAAAAGAAACATAAAAAAACATAACATTTTTTACAATAATGTTCTTATCATCAATCTTTTGACTTTGAATAAAGGAGTAACATATCACTTCAGTCAAAAGGGAAAAAAAAAAAAAAATTCAAACAGCTTAGAATTCTACATTCCCCAAGTGAGTTAAATAATTCAGCTGTGAACTGAGTTGAGTTAGTAGTGAGGGAATCTTATGCAATTTGTGATAGGGATCAAGAAAGAAGAAGAGAGGCAGTTAAAGTCCAAACGACCTAACTCAGACTTGCCCAAATTATCAATATGCCCCCAGGTCCTGCTAAAACTAAAGTCCCATTGTACACAAAAATTAACCGTAACTCCAAAAATTAATTCTCCAGGCTGAAATTGACCCACTTTTAAACTAAATCTTAATAATCATACATATTTCACTTTCAGCAATTTTCATAAAAATTAATTAATTAATTAAACCAACCAATAAATTGCTAAAACCAAATCAAATAGGAAACTGGTGAATCCCTATTCCGTAACACATATCACTCCATAAGAATCTGCCCTTAAAAGTCTAGAATTGTCTAGCTATACTAAAATGACATGATACCGCTCATAGAAGAAGGTATATGAATGGTTCACATGAGAGGAAGGGGATCAGAAAGGATAAAGTGTTTTCCATTAAGATGAGGACAAAACTAAATACCAATTCTTAATTCATGACCTTTGAAACCACTGATTTCCAAAAACAGCATTTTTTTTTTTTGCCATTTTATAAATAGGTCATCTTAATGAAAAGAGATGTTGCAAGAAATGTACCGTTAAACTCCCAGAATCTGTGTTCTCAAATTCAATCAACCGCTTCGTTAGAGTTGCTTCACATATATGCACAGTTTTTACCTGATGAAGATTTATAACAGACATCAAACTAGAGTGAAGAAAATATAAATCTCAACAGTGAAATACTCGAATATTAAGTATCAAACAGAGAGAGAAAGAGACCAAAATCAGAATGGTAATTTTAGATAAATTCTAAAGTACAAAAAATTGAAATCCGGAGAACATTCTCCAGTAAGCCCAAAAAAAAGGCTAAATAAATAGCATATAATAAAATGTTCAATTACATGTGTAGGGGTTTGAACTTAGTTTACACTTGCTTCATTGTTACATCAAGGCTAATTACAAAATGATCTCCCAAATTCAAATCAGGTAACTTGAACCTTAGAGCTGCCTCTTTATTTGAGTACCTACTCAATTTTCACTTTGACATTGTTTGCACTTCAAAACTAAAAATTATTATCGTGGAAGACAGTTAACATATTCATACAACAAATCAATTAGATTTCAATATCAAATATGTTGGAAAATTATAAATGAAATATCTATTGTGAAGACTAAATTCAAAAAGTTATAAAATCTCTTCTATCCCAAGACTTATTAACAAACAGACAGAGTGTGCATCTTTTATAGAGCCAAGCTTCCTCCTTTCTAAACGATAAGAAACTTCTTTCGTTTAAGATTTTACGGCACACTCCAATCCTAGTGAACATTCACCATGTGCACCTGATAAGAAAGGGTTCCCACTTAAAAAGGGGCCAATCAGGTATCTGTTTTAAAAAGAAACCATTTATTTTCTGCAACCGGGGCAAGTGGAAGTAGATAATCTAAACCATACCACCACCACCAGTAAGAGTCAGTTCATGTTCTTAAATCCATAACTGAAGGCTGGCCATGAAAGGCAATCCCTATGTATAAACCTCTAATTTTCAAGGCTATTCTACATTAGACATGTTCTAATAAACAGCTATTTCAAAGCTCAAAACACATTTTTTTTAAGACAAAAACACAAATACAACATTCACATTCTACAGCATGAACCAAATCACAGGGGATCAACATAAGTTGTGAGCTTCACTTACAACGTCTGACTTGGGGAACTTGAGACCATGTGTAAGTGCAGATATGTACAGAGCAGCACCACATAATCCACTAGGCTTTCTCCCTGTCTGTATATTTAAATCAAGTCAGATTTCGACTTTCAACAATTACCAACTGATCCTAATGCCGAAATTGCATTGAAATAAGATAGTGAAATATCGTACCGTAATCCAATCTCGTTTCATGCTAGCCAGAATATCTCGAGCTGTACTGCAAACCTTCTTATCTCCTCCAGGTAGTAATCCTGCAAAGCAAATTGGTGATATGTTTCCCCAACTCAATCCAAAATTATGTATTACATATTTACCCCGATCTAAAGTAAAAGAAAAGAGAGGGTATACAACTTTTTTTATCATGAAACTGAAGCAAAGTTATCCTAAACTCTGGTAAAATAATAAAAAATGTCTAAAGTGGAATAAAAGCAAGGAAAGAGAGGGGAGAGGGGAATAGAGAATGAGAGAAGAGCCTAAAATTTAACAAGCATCCAAATAATCAACAAAACATTTATCTATCACCAAACAAAAAAGTCTGTATTCCAATTCAGTCAATTAAGCCTAGCATACAACTCAACAAAATATTAACCAAAAAAAAATGGAAACGGAGATGAAAAATATTACCAACGACCAAGTTAAAAGATCAAGAACAAGAAACAAATAAGATTGAAAAAGGAAAACTGGGTTTGAAAACCTGAAATGCCATACTCACAGCCAAACACTGAATGAAATAATTCTCCAAGAAATATTACCAAAATTGTTATTTATAATATGTATCTCTGAAAAAAATAACAATAATAATAATAAGAGATCACCCTCCAAATTTCTATCCTATTAAGGAAAAAAATCCTTGCACTGCCAGCAAACTCGAACTTCTTTAAGCTAACAATAGATTAAACCAATAGGGATTCCACAAATCTAAGGCAAAGGCAAAAGTTATATGATGATTAAAAAAAATACTAAATTGCCACTTAAAAATTATCCTCGACTGATAAAACATACATAGGGAAATCAATTTTGTGCACTATAGATCAGCACTAACATAAATACTACAAACAACCACATTGCAAATCAACTACCAATCATTTGGTTTTATCACCAGTACAATAGCATTCACATTGATTAAAAGAAAACAGCCCGAAGAAAAAATAGGGCATAAAAACCTTGTTATACATTTGCAAATCAACTACAAATCATTTTTAACATCTAAAACCCTACAAGAGTGAAATAGCATAATAGAATTCTTCAAAACAGCTAATGAAAGTCCTAGATAAGATAAAAAACATATACAATTTAGAGAAATGCTAATAGCGCTCACTAACTCACTCCCTACAACACTTACTGCTTGTTTTCAGATCTCTCCAACGTTTTCATTTTGGTTTGCCAATCCACATGTAGCATGAAAACAAGCCAATTAAGTATTGTAAAAAGTGAATTCGCAACTACCATTAGCAATCCTCTTTCACTTAACGGTAAACTGAAAACACTTACATTAACTAAAAAAGAATCTAGGAACAGTACAATATGATGCAATTATATAGTCATCATATAGACATATCATATTCAAATATGACCACTTGGCCAAAATTCTTGAGGAATAAAAAACCTTTAATTTAGGCCCTTTCGAAGGACTTTGCCCATCCCTTCCAACCAAATTTAGATAGATAAGCAATGCTGCTAATCTATGTCAATTCTGTACAGAAACTTACGGTCAGTAAATTTAGGCAAAAAAATGGAAGGATCAACTTGTTTCTGAATATTGGATTCATCTGCAAGGTACAGCACTTGACACAGCTGCAAATATACACCACCCAGCTCATAACTGCAATATAATTAAGATGAAAGCAATAATAACTCATAATTGCAAAAACTTGATAGCCACATATTAACCACACAGACATACGTTGAGAAGTATTCACGAAAAAAGAACAGAAAATCTTCCTTACACATTGATATTTAAGTAATTTGCAAAGTCAATCAGAAGAAATGGCTTCATTTTCTCCCTGCAAAAGAAAGAGAGATTCAAATTTGATATTAGCAAATATCTTTACTGCAACTGTCTGAAACTAGCAAGGCAATATTAGCATAGTTCATTCATTATCTAGCTCCGGATGAATAGCCATACCACAATTATTTCGACTTGTGCTTGGCTTTAACAATGTGTATAATTAAACTTGTAGTAATTTCATTGTGTACTTGAACTATAGCAGCTTACAATTATATGCATATTAACTAGAAATTAGAGTATAGCAACAGTTCCTAGATCAAAGGGCGTAATTAGCCACTGCAGAACTTTTAATTCATAGGTTACTTGGTGGCTTATCCTTGTTAAGATAAACAAACAAGATAAAGTACTTTTATCTCTTTCTCACTGTCTTTCTCTCTATTATTCACAATATACTCCTTCAATCATCAAACTCCCATTTTTAACATACATAATGCTGGTCCAAGTGAAAATCAAGCATGAATTGAACTCCATTAAACCAGCAGCAATTTCCACCAAAAGACCTCGATTTTATTTTGTTCTTTTGTATCTTTAAATTGATACACGTAACATTTTTTTCTCTAAGAAACTTATGTACATACAATTGGACACTCTTGTCTTGTTTTTGGATCAACATTTTTATACCACTGCTTACGGTGAATGGATCAACATTTTTATACCACTGCTTACGGTGAATGGATCAACATTTTTATTCCACTGCTTACGGTGAAGAAAGCTAAGTCCATGTAAAAATCATAGGAAATATATCAAGACACAAGCAAATTTCTTACCTGCATGCAAAGTATAGACAAGAAGCTTGCACTTGCTCTGTTCTACGCCCCCTAGTAAAATTCCGTGAAACAGCCATCTTCATGATAAAGATTCAGAGATTATGGCAATCAATTAAGAAAATGCACAACTAACAACAAGTAGATTAGCTATAGCAAAACATACTCCATAAAGACGTTTAGCTATGTGGACTATCTCATCACTGTCACCAATACCTAAGGCATTCTTCATTTGTCTCATATCATCGAAAGCTGCAGCACCATAAACAATTAACACCAAAAAAAAAAAATATATCAGTGTGAACATAACAAAAACCAAATATACCTCTCTCCAATAACCGTTCCCGGGAGGCACCATATTCACTTTGAATAGTTCTTATCAAATTTCCTGACAATTGACTCTACAAACAAATCTAAACCAGTTAACACATTGGTCATAAATAGCAAATCAAAAGTAAAGAATATAAAAAATTCATCTAAAACAAAATCAATCATTCCTAAAATGAAAATCCACACACAAGGCACATATAAATTTCAACAAAACCGCCATTCATTTGTGAAGAGCAATACAAAATCAAACTTTCGCAAAATGAACAATCCAAATGCAAGGCCGTATATAGATTTCAACAAAATTTCTGTTCATTAACAATAATAATATAAAATCAAACACTCTCAACATAAACAATCGACACACTAGGGAACATGTAAATTTCAACAAAATTTCCATTCCTTAACAAATAAAATACAAAATCAAACATTCCCAAAATGAACATCAACACGCAAAGGCAAAAATAAACCTTAACAAAATTTCCATTCCTTAACAAAAATAACATTCCCAAATTGAACTTCAACACACAAGGGCACGTATATATTTCAACAAAAATACCAATATTTTTACAAAAAGAATACCTGCCCAGCTGCATTCTTAACGAATGTAACTTCAGTAGAATAATTGTGATACTCTATAACTTTCCCACACAAGTCACAACATCTACAAATTCAACCACACAAACCCACCAAAAATTAATAAAATTAGACAAAACTAAAACGAAAACCAACAGAACTCAATTCAGATTCATCAAAGAACTTACAATTGGGAATCATAAGGGCGCACTCCAGGAACGTTTTTGGCACAATTACTACACCACACCATTCTTCTCTAAAAAAACAAAATAATTTCCTCAAATCTGCAAAACCCTGAACAAAAAATAAAGACCCAGAAAAATAAAAAATAAATAAATAAAAAGAAAAAAACTGACCTGAATTCGTGTGAGAGAGAAAGCTGAGAGTGGGGTTTTGTTGAGAGTAGTTAGGGTTTATGTGGGCTAAAGAATTGATTCGTGTCCTCTTAATTGGAAGTACCTGTTGATGACACGTGGAGTGGTTTTATTGGGTGTGATGTGGGACCTTCGAAATTGAAGTAACGGACTTGCGCGGGGTTTCTGAGCTTAATTAATTAGTTGTTCGGGATAGTGAGTGCGTGGGGTCTAGGATTAAGGCGAAAAGGCATAAACTATAATGGGTTTAAAGTAATAACTTAAAAGGTCAGGGAGTATTAATTATTCACTAATTTGATAGGTTAATTTCATTTTCCTCCTGTAAGATCGCTTAGTTGGACATAACAGTTGTTAAATGATTAAATTAAATCCACACCAGGGGTAGAAATGTTAATTTTGAAATATTTTGGTCTCCAATAGGTTTTCCAACTCTAGAACCGACGTCGTTTTATCTCGCCAATCTTGACTCCTTGTCTACTCTGCTCTGATCTTGATTAAACTCGGAGACGAGACGACACACGAGACAAGAGGAAGATAGAACTTTGGAAGCGGAAATAGAGATGGGTTTGCTCAATATTTGCAGAATAATACCGTTGGTCGTTGCAATTTCTGCAATTTCAGTTACAGCTAAAGAGCAATTGAGTTCAAGAGAATGTGAGGATCTAGGGTTCACAGGCCTTGCTCTTTGCTCTGATTGCAACACTTTTGCTGAGTATGTCAAGAACCAAGGTAACGCTTTTCACCATTTTTTTTAACTGTAATTTTGGATTATTTTTAGGGGTTTCAGTGTTACTGGGTTTGGTTTTATGCAACTGATCGAACCCAGATGAGGTTTTAGTTTTGGATTTGAGAAATGTCTAATTTTGGCATTTGTCATATGTTTGCACATTAATAATCAATTATCATTTGTGTCATTTTATTGAAAAATTGATTCACAAATTATAGTGAATTTAAATCAAAGCTATTAATTTTTTGTTATCTTGTGTATTTAATTCAGTTTTTTATAATCAATTATCCATGTATTATCAGTTAATTGGTTCTTGCTGTAAATTCTATTGTTTTTTCTGCTATTGTGCGTGATTTTATGCAGTTTTTCTGTTTTGGAACTTGAGTTTTAGGCTTTGGTTGTATGCAACTGATAGAACTCATATGAGGTTTTAGTTTTCGGTTTGAGAATTTATTTGTTTCTGGCATTTGTTTTGGTGATTGCCTGTTTAGAATTGAAATAAGTGAATTATGTTAAGAATAATGAGTTCTAATGTTGGGTTCAGATGAAATTTAGGATATGTTATGTTGGGAGCATCAATTATTTGAAGTTATGAAAAATTGTCTTCTAGTATGTTTCTTTTGTATTAAACTCAAAACTTAGTTTGTTCATGTATGTAAATATAGATAAAAATCTATGAGCATGGCTTGCTCGCAATGTTCCGAATTTGCTAAAGTTCATCTTTTGGTTGCAGAGTTGGTATCTGACTGCTTGAAATGTTGCACAGAGGATTCTGATGACTCCATGAGTAAGGTATGGATCATTTGAAGGAACTATAAATTTTTGCAGCTGAAAATAATTGTTTGAATTCTTCTCTGTGGTGCATTTATGTTTTCTTTACTAAAATCATTACAATAAATGTTGTTTTAAATCCTTTCATGATTTGGGACCTCAATTTCCCTACTATATTAGTTCTCATGAGGTGCTCTAGTTTTCTTTACCAGGTCGTAAATCTTTTCTATTAATCTTTTCTTTTCTTTTCCTTTCCTTTCATTGGGGGAAAGAAATATTGACTGGATCTGAGAAAGACGATTATTCTGATTATAAACAGCTTATACCGATAACTATAGTGGAAGCTAACACTTTTTTCCTTTTTTTATTCTATTTTACGTATAAATAAAATAAAAATTGTTGGAAGGAACTGCAAAGATCTTGAATTTTTTTATTTTTTTTTTAATTCAGTTGTATGATTATGTCGGTAGCTATAACAAATAGAAATGATGTATTATCATCTGTTGAAACTGCAGATTACCTATTCTGGAGCGATACTGGAGGTTTGCATGAGGAAATTGGTTTTCTATCCTGAAGTTGTTGGTTTCATTGAAGAAGAGAAGGATAAGTTTCCTACAGTTAAAGTTCAATATGTTTTCAATTCTCCGCCAAAGTTGATCATGCTGGATGATAAGGGTCAGCAGAAGGAAACCATAAGGTGAGCTTCCATTTACTAATATTAACTACTGATCTTTTTCTGTTGAATTAATGTCCCGTTGTATACGTGGAAAATTGAATCAACGGATTTGCTTGACCTGTTGACCTCACTCGATTCTTAAGTCAGTTGCTAAAAATTTTAAGCTGACACCAGTGATTTTGCTTGGTACATTAATTTGATTATGATATCCCATTGCCAGAAACAAATGAAATACTTGTATTCTTGCTCGAGGCACGACTAAATATTTAATACCTAGGCTCGACTAAGGCTGAAATCATCTTTCAACCTTAGAGCTTACCTCTATCATGCAAAACAGCTGCCAAGTGCATTTTAGGTTAAGATCTTGTAATCACATGGTGTCGCCGAAAATATACCAACCATCTTTCTCTTTAACGGACAAAATTTGTGGGTGTTATTCAGGTTTAACTGAGCGTTGAACAGCTTGCCTACAGATCTAACTTCAAATTTTTTTGCTACCTTTCTTAGATAATAATGAAAGTCTTAGAATTCATTGTGGATTTATTTCCCTTGTTTGCTTTACAGAATTGACAACTGGAAACGCGAGCATATGCTGCAGTTTATACAAGAGAAGGTTAAGCCAACTTCAGCAAAATATTAGAGCCTTTTATGTGTGTTGTTCACTGTCATTGCCACTGCATCTTAATTAGCATGTTCATGTGGCTTACCATTTTTCAGGAAAGTTCAGTTTAAATTTACTGAAAATATACAACTAGAATGGGCATAACCAGTTACCATTATGTCTTTAGTTTGAATATTGAGTCCTAGTGACATGAACTACTAGTAGGCGAATACCTAAGCACTTTTTGAACACCTCTACGGATATTTATTTGGTTTTAAGATTGAATTGTGCATCTCTAATATAATTTAAATTTAATGCAAGCTTTGGGAGCATTTCTTAATGAACTTGCCATTGGTTACTCATCGATGACATGAGAAAGACAGAATATGTCCCACCTTAGTTATATTGAATGGTTGTGAACTTGCTCTTGTGGGATGACTTTGCCTAGTTTCTGAGTAAATGGCTAGTGGTAAGTTTTGCACCTACATTTTTTTGGGGAGATTTTAGAGTCAAAAGACGGAACCTCTGAGGTTTGATGTAGTAGTAAAAATCCCCATATATGTTATGAAATATCAAAAATCTCTATGTTCTTACCAAACTGATAAAATTCACTCACTCCTATGAGTTAATAAATATTTATCGAATTACTTGTTTACTGTTTATTTTCACATCTAAAACTTAACCATAAATGTGACAGTTGAGTATGATATGGTCAAATTATTTTGTTAGATTATATAATCATATCTAGAAGGATTGATGTCATTAACTCAGTGAATTTGTTGTGGTGACATTCAGAGGTAGTGTAGTTCAGTCCTAGTCTTTAGAGCTCTTAAATGTAACAGTTGAGCATGATATGGTCAAATTATTGTAGTGTGAAATTGTGACTTTTACTCAGATTCTGATATTGCAGTCCAAGACAAAGACTCTTGAAGGAAGGTGTTTCACATCTTATATTTGACACAAGGGTTGAGTTATGGTACTTGGTACTTTGTTCATTCAAAAAATTTTGATTGCCGGTAAGGGTCCCAGCCAGTAGTATATGAAGAACCCATTTTGGTTTTACATTCCAAGCCACAACAACAAACTCAGAACAAAACAAAAGCCTTGTTCTTTTGGGAAGAAGACAATTTCAATTTGAAAAGAGTACAAAGAAACAAAATGGAACCATGAAACTCCCACTCATATAATTATTATTTCAATTTAAGGATCATTATACAAATCAAGTTCATAAATATACATTTCCCTTGATCAGAACAGAGAAAAACATACCAGAATGCCATGATCCCACCACCAATTAAAACTATAATGGTGCGCGATTGCGATAGCGATTGCCATTAGATAGTGTACACATTCAATGACTAAAACTATTTCACATACCACAAATCCCAATTTTTAGTGCCCTCAAGCTCCCCATTCCTGTTACAACTGCCTAACAAAATTTTGTTATGCATTAAGAGAGGAGTTGGTTACCAACCACATCACCTTGAAACCTTTTTGGTTGGAGGTCTGATGGATTAGTAATCAATGAAATTGTGTAATCACCTTCTCGAATTTTGGTGATGTTGTCTTGATGGGTGCCCAAATATCTGCACCGTTGCTTCGAGCAACTCCAGCAGTACAGGAAATGGGGACGAGACATAAACCCCTATTTCGTAAGCTGTAGTCATCAAATTCCTGCAAAAATGATTAAACCATTTTCGGTCCAGGTGTTATTTTGACTTGATGATGGAATCATCAATATAATGTTGCAAAGCATATGAACTTGTGCAATTTCAGAGTAAAACAATAGAATTGGGCGATTTGAACTCCACGGGCTCTCCAAAAGACATTGTGAATGTTGGGACTAGGAGGCATCATGAAATGCCTCTCAAAAGTCGAGTTTTCTAAGAAAAAGACGTAGAAAGTTTGAACCTTTTTTCTCCTTTGCTATTCAATTTTTATGATTACTATCCAATTAATCAATGCTATATGGGTCCAGCTCATGCTCACCTGCACCTTAGCTGTTGGTGTAGTTTGGAGGTAAGGAGCACTCAACACCTGAAAACATCCAAAGAAAGCAAAATAATTGAGATCAAAGTCAAATTTGGCTCCTAAACGCTCAACAACAGAAACTGATAGTCTCAGAAAGTATCATAAATATGATATATATATATATACATCTTCTCCAATACCACTAGCTTTATGAATGATCTCGGCCGATGTGACCGTGACAGTACTCAATTAGTTATCTTGTTCTTTTGTTTTGTATATTTATATATGTCCATTTTTCTCTTCTATTTTCCTTTTTTCTTTTTCTCATTGGATAATCCTAAAACAGAAGCAACCAAACCTTTCGGTTCACATATTGATGACGCATCGATTTAAGGCCTTAAAGTATGGACGTGGCACATGACTGACCATAAAACAATAACATCATATATGGGTGATTCCAGTCACCAGGTAGGCTAATAAGTTAATCTAACTATAGAAAGAAAAAGAGCACAAACCTTTACTTGGTCATGGAGAAATTGGATGTATTCCATTGCCTCCCAAAGGACAGATGCTGTATCTGTCTGCATTAAAGTAATTTCAAACAACTAAAATAAGTTTCTAAATTACAGAAATTAATCAGCTTGGAAGCTGTTACAGATACAGTATGAAAAGAATAATGTAAATATGCTGAAACTTGAAAGATCCATCTCCAGACTTGCCTTGCCATATGGTGAAACAAGCTGTTGTAGAGCCATGATTCGTTCACCGAGCTTCTCTTTCCTCTCCTACAGCCAAGAAATAATGAGAGAATGGTAAGAGTGAAATACATTTCACATGGTAAAAGGACGATAACAAGCAAAGTAGTTTCTGCAAGACCGTGTTTAAGACTTAGCAAGTTAAAGGGCCAAAACTGTGGGTTCTGTTTTGAGACAAACTTCAAATACAAAGGATTATGATTTTCAAGCACCTTATTCATCAAAATACAAACCAAGAAAACACGACATGACACTTGAGAATTTAAGTTATGGAAAATAATTCCATTTTGAGCTCTGAACAGATTTTGCACATCTTAAAAAGCAACAACTACCAGGTATTTCTTAGAGAACTTCAAGCGTGTTGTGAAATACAAAGAAGTTGTACCATAAACTAGCCTCAAAATCACCATGTTGATTGGAAAAGGCATGATTCCAAAGGGCTAATCCTGAACAGAGTATAACTCTAGCTAGAGAACAGTGCTTCGAAAAAGGATGCAATTAATCCCAATTAACTGAGACAAGCTTACTTCAGAATTTTACAAGTCTTTTGGTACTGAATTAAGCAGTATCCATCAAACGGAAGGAAATCGTAAAGCATGTATACATTTTTAAAAAAGGGTAAAAGGTAGGAGGAGAAACCTTGGTGGAAATGGATAGATCGGCTTTATGTCGCTTAGAAGCAAGAGTTGTGAGATTGCCCTGATCAACAGAGCAAGGACTTCGTTTATTTTCCATCATCTTTAACACTTCTATCCCTTCTTCTCCCTGATTCAGAATAGCAAAATGAATGAGCACACATAATAGAAGATAAGAACATGCAGACAATTAAAGAGTCCACATCATTTCACAAGTCCCAACAAGAAACAACAAAGTATGCAAAACAATTGGAAAAACATATTATCCGACTATAATTTCTCCCCGAGAGTCAAGAAAACGAAAGCAAAAGTTACAAGACAAACATATGAACCAGAGTGATTAGTACACAAACTCATCATAATGCTTTCAGTAGTACATAGGATCTTTCATACTTACAACAAACTCAAGCTCAAACTAAAATTAACATATTCTCCAAACTGAAGTACTCTCACTATTGACTATGCCTTAAGAGAATAGATTTTCTTCTGCAGAGCCAAGCGACAAGAAAAATCAACCAACCTAAGATATGTCTTATGACCATGAAATCATCAATATCCGATTATTACTAAACTTTTACTGAGCTTATTGCGCGTCAAGAAAATTAGGCCAATCAGTGTTTTTTCAAGAGAAGAAGAGAAAGCATGATTGACCGGTTAACTATGCTGACTAAGGAAAAGCTGAAAAATACATTGGCTGAAGTCTACTATTATAGTTTTAATGTGCAGAAAACTAAACAAAAGTCCATGAAAGATATGCACGTGTTTAAGCCAGGCCGGTTCATCCCTTACCTCCGACTCCAATGAGGTAGGTTACCGACCAAGACTCTTGACCCCACTAATCACGGGATTGAATCCTCTGCCTAGATACGAATAGCAGAAACACTCGTGTCTAACGACAACCAATGAGGTTAATTTGATTAAACAATCATCTAAGAAAAAAAACACATTACCGCTCTTATCCTTCTAGTTCAAGATAACCAAATATTTTATACACCATACCAGACAAAAACTCAAATAAAAAAATATTGCAGAACTGATAATCTCCTCATAAACAAAACAAACATGCACTGTTTTGGTCAGAAGTGAAACCCCCCATCAAACACTAAACAAAACAGTCAAAACCCCTTTGCATAATAAAGAAATGGTGAACTAATTGTAGGCTCACAAATTGATAACAACACATTTCCGTGAATCAATGAAAATCAAAATGACAACCACAATCACCTACTTATTATCAAAAGCAAAATAATGAATTGGATTGATTGAAATCTCAAACAATCTAGACCTTTCAACAGGTTTAAAATACCTAAAGATCCATCACTTTGTCAATCAACTAAAGCACAAACACCAAATACATAAAATTAACTTAGGATCATAATTGTGTCTTGTTGTGAGTGTGAAGGGGAACAACCCCACATAAAAAATATGATTTAGTGGACCCATAAGTAAAAAATTAATGCTTTACATGTATGAATGATCCATTAAAGAATCGGATTTGCGTATATGATCTTCTCATCCACCATTACTTTATACCAAAGAATATCATCTTAATCTAATCTATTACTAATCAAAGAAATATATTAAATACTAAATAATATTATACACTGTTCATCATGTTTTTACATTGAATATTATTAAGGCAACGTTGCATGTTAAGAAAATCTCATTGGGGCACCAAGACCACTGATTCCAGCAAGGTGACCGGATTCTGCTTCCAGTAACATAACTTTTTACTAGTTAAGACATGATTAGGTGGATATTTACAAAACAAAGGCATGGAAGAAGAAATTGAACAGGATTTCAAGAATTAAAGGGAGTAATTGAAGAAGAGTTCTTTAACAAATGAAGAAGAATAAAAAAGCAGGCTTTGAAACTCACCAAGTGAAAGAAGTCTGCATTGCCAAAAGGGCTCACAAGAAAATCTCAACTTTATAAGGCAAAAACCTCCCAAACCCACTTCAAATTTCACTCAAACTCAACAAAAATGTTAAGCAAAAGCCAAAAGAAAAGGCTTTAAGTGAAGTTTCGTCAACAAAATAACAACCCAAAAGTCAGTTTTTGAGAAGAAAACAAAAAAAAAAAAAAAAACTGTTTCAAGGAAGTTTTCTTTTCAATCAAAAAATGAAACTTTCTGCTAAAATTGTCAGTCGTTGCGTCTAAAGTTGAAAACTTTACACTAATTGATTAAACCCTTCAATGGAAAAGTTCAAAAAAAAGTTCACTTGAATCACAGAGTAGGAATTTGAGTGTTAAAACTTAAAAAAGCCAAGAAAAGAATTCTGAAATGGGTTAAAGAAGGAGGTGAAGCTTTAAGCAGAGAGTAAAGAAAACACAGGAGAAGAAAAAGAAAGAAGAAGAGCGTGTGAAAGTGTTGAGACTTGAGAGGAGGGGAAGAATAAAGGGGGGTTTCCAAAGTGTTTTTATAAGGTTTTGAAAACAGTGAAAATTAATATTTTATGAAAACAAAGACTGTTCACAAATATGTTTTTGTTTTCTCATTTGACAGCTAATATACAACCATGCAAAATATGAAAGAGCCAGGAAATGAGCTGCACCTCAGGAGTAGTTAGTTCAACTATGTGTGATGTCACTTTTCTTCAACCATGGTTGAAGGTGACCTTTCTCTTTCTTTTTCTGGCTTAACCAGCTATAATTTTCTTTTCTCTTATTTACGCGGTATACATTCTTACAATGATGCACGTGTGTTTGTTTTAGTATTTTAACAATATTTTTGAAAAAATAAAAGTTGGATAGTTATTATAAAGTAGAATTTAAAAATTAATAAAAACACTCTCTTAGATTTGTTAATTTACTAAATACTCATATAATAAAACATTAAAAATTAATAAAAACACTCTCACTCACCCATTAAATGCCAGCAATCGGCCACCGCTGTAAGAGACTAGCCAGAGTCGTCGTATTGGCGCACAACTGGCTAGATCTGACAGATCGTGTGTCAATATGGTATTTTCCAGCCAGATCCATATAAAATGTTAGATTTACAGCTAGATCGACGCACAACCAGCCAGATCCAGCTAATAGTGCGTTATTATACCAGATTCCGACGATCTTTTGACAGTAGTGGTCGGAATCTGGCAAATGTAGGTGAGTGGGAGTGTTTTTATCAATTTCTAAACTTTTTTGGGGGGGTGTTTAGTTAAATTAATAAACTTAAGGGGTTTAAAAAATAATTGAATAAAATATAATAGTATTTTCATAATAGAGAAACAAAATTATATTTTGGATAGGATAGGGATAATCTTTCTTTTCTGGCTTGCTTGAGGTTGCGATAAGTATTATATACGTTCTAATAATATAACTCCTTTTTTTAAAGAGTCAAAACTGAATTTACATATTATCATCATTATTCTATAAAATGAGGAATGATCATTTACCACAAGTTACTGAGATGGTTTACCATAAGTTACTTCACTTAATCGAAGAAACTGAATGTTAATGCCCATAATTAGGTGGAGTTAATGAGCCACTTACAATTTTGTCTTGTTTTCTTTTTTGTTCGACCTTGAGATACACTCTAATAATGTAACTCTATTTTTTTTTTTTAATAACCGAAGTGTTCGGGTTAGTTAATTAGTGGGATTCATTAAACACCTTATAAGCCCAAATAATCAGAAAAATCATAATGTTATTGTAGTAAGTAACCCCAAGTTTGAACCTAAAAACTCAAGAAAATGAAGAAACTTTCTTGACCGTCAGGCCAACTCCTAGGGGTTAACTCCATTTTCTCTCGTTTTCTTGTTTACTCGACATTAAGATACACTCTAATAATGTAATTCTCTTTCTCTTATTTTCTTGTTAACTCAAAGTTGAGACTTGAGATAGACTCTAATAATGCAAAATCCTTTTTTTTTTTTTTTTTTTACCCAAAAAAAAAAAATGTTAAATCCCCCTTTCTCTTGTTTTCTTATTTACTCCACGCTAAATCAATACTAGATACATTTTAATAATGTAACTCCCTTATTCTTTTTTCTTGTTTACTTACGTCGAGATACGCTCTAACATTATAACTCCCTTTCTCTTGTTTTCTTGTTTATTAAACGTTACAATACGCTCTAATCATGTAACTCTGTTTCTTTTATTTTCTTGTTTACTCAAAGTCGAGATAAGCTCTAATAATGTAAAATCTTTTTCTCTTATTTTCTTATTTACTCCACGCCAAATAAGTACTAGATACGTTACAATAACGTAACTCCCTTACTCTTGTTTTCTTGTTTACTAACGTCGAGATACGCTGCAGTAATAATGTAATAAAACTCCCCCTCTCTTGTTTTCTTGTTTATTAACGTTACCATACGTTCTAATCATGTAACTCTCTTTCTCTTGTTTTCTTGATTATTCAATATCGAGATGCGCTCTAATAATATAACTCTCCTTCTCTTGTTTTCTTGTTTATGCAACGTCAAGGTAACTATTAGATACATACTAATAATGTAACTCCATTTCTTTTATTTTTTAGCTTATTTGACGCCGAGGTAAGCATTAGATACATTCTAATCATGTAACTCCTCCCTCTTGTTTTATGACTTAATATTAAAAAAAAAATTTATTATTTTTAAAGCTATGTTTTAAACTAACATCTTACAAAACTAATATATTTAATATAATAATTAAATCAATTATCTATAATAAGTGGACAACAAAACTCATGTTATTTTCAGTAATAAATGTCTCTTTGAAATTTTGCTTAGGAATACTACATATCACAAGTTTAGTAATAAAGTCTCTGGTCCATAATATTCATAGACTAAAAAGGCACATAAATATGGATTATTATATCAAATATTTTGGCTTCATCCACAAATACATTAGTAGAATTTGGACCCTTTTAGGCAAGACACGACAAGAAATATACTCACATGACTAATATACTATAGATATTCTATTTAAAAGATTCCAATTTTCAGGATATAGATTAATTATTTATCGTCAATAGACATCTGAAAAAATCTTCGGTGTAACTAGTGTATATGTATTTGTTCAATCGTAACGTATATAAAAGTTATATATGTTGATATGACATGTCGTAATTTGAAAAACCATTCATGCTTGAATAAAATGAGGGCGAGGATTTAAAAAATAAATTTTAGTATTTTTTAATTTTTTTAGTTATATCTAAATTCATATTTTATTACATGTTATTACTTTAATTTTATAAAATAATATCTCTTAATGATAACAAATAGTTTTAATTCTCTAGGTTTTCAATACTCTTATAAATTTCACTCATTTTCATCACTCTCTTCTAATTTTTTTTTTTATTTCTCATATTAAAAGCACCTTTATTTCCTTTTTATTGATGGCAATTTCCTAGTATCAACAAGATTGATATTTTTTTTATAAATATTTAAAATGTTGTAGATCGACTCGGAAATTAATTTCTACTTCTGCAGTTGCATATATGACATCACTCAAAAATTTATTAAATCACATTTTTTTAATTATATCGAATTAAAACTTGAGATAAGAATGGTTGAATTTCTTACAAAAATTATGGAAATCCTTCCTTTATATAGTTTAAAACTACAAAAAACATATAATTAATTATTTCATGTTACATGTTTGTATCTAATATGGAGACAATAATTTAATCCCTTGACACAAATTCAATAGATTATATTATTCTACGTTTATTAATTAATTATATTGCTTTGAATCCAAACAATTTAAAATTATTTACCAAAAGGTACAAAGTTTCTTTTAATACTATTTTCCAAAAAGGTACAAAGTTTAGTCAAAAAAGTGTAGTTATTAGTTGGGATATTTAATTAACAAATCTTCGTATTAAAATTATTTACCCTAAAACCGAAATATTAGGTAAGAGTTAAATTATAAAAATAATGATAATTATTCAATATTCTCTTAGTAGATTTCAAATATAGATCAGTGGACAGGAATAAAAAACAAATAAAATTATTTAAAAAAAGTGATAGTCAATTAAGAAAAAATAATGATGTTAAGAAGAACATTCAATTACCAGCAAAAGCATAATTTTATTTCTTTAAATCATCAGGCATACGCCAACGGTTTAAGGTCACCTCAAACCCCAAACCTCCGTCACGTTAGGATGTCGGCCCATCTAGCCAACATTCCCCCCTCGACACTTGCCAACAAGGGTATGCTTGCCAAGAGACTATAACCATGATCAAGCTCTAATGGTATTTGTTAGAATCAAATGCTTACCATTGAACTAAAAGTTTAAGCTATAATTATAGGTGCAACCTCATTTCTTTAAGGTATCAGCCTTATACCCATGGTTTGAGATGACTCCAACCCTCGAACCTCTGCCACGACAGAATCCTGGCCCACCGAACCAACACTCTTATTATAAATGAGAGACTATATAGCATATACACCTAGTAAAGCATCAAAAGAAAAGATGATGATTAATAAAAAGAATAAAGAAAAATGTTGTAATTACAAATAAATAAATATTTATATAATAGTATGTTATTTATCATAGAAATATAAAATCTAATAATATTTAAATATTGAAAAATTCGAAGCCGCCAGCTGAAACTAGCTTGAGCCAGAAATGTACAGCTTAATTAGATAAATTAATTTCGATTATTATCTTTGGCGGGAAATCGCTGTCAGAGCAGTTTCTCAATTCTGGTGGGCGTTTTCGACAGTAGGTCCCACCTGTTCCGTGACATCTGCCTTATTTTCTTCCGTAACGCGCCTTCCTAACATCATAAAACCGCCACTCGCCGTATCAGCATACCCACGTGTAAAGTATCCAACTCGTGTGGCTTACCAGTAGCTCGTGTTTTCAGTACACAAGAAAGAGTGTTGTATTGTAAAAGGAAGGTGTGGCCCACAACAAAAATGGTACTGCCCACAAAAGTCCACGGGGGAAAGCGCAGGGGGAGGGGGGAGAAGATATTTTTTTGTTTTCAAGTTTAAAGTCGTAGGTGGGACCCACACGGTTTAGATGCTTGTCTTCTTTCTTACTTGCTTTTGTTGTTGTTGATTTCGGTACTTGCAATGGTACCCTAGGATTAAAGGGCATTAGAAACCGGTGTGGTATTACACGCCCAATAACACAGAGAGGGTGGTACCGTGAATATTATAATCCTATGTAGTAATTGATTTAGCAAATTAATTCACTTAGCATATTATTGTATGTAAAATATTTTTATATAACATTTCTTATATGATATGATTCAGTAAAAAATGATTAATTTATTTTAAATTAAAAATAAATTTATACCCAATCATCTTTTACATATCATTTTGTATGAGAAATATTTAATGTGCAGTCTTATGAAAAATATTGTATGTGTAGTATTACTCATTCACCTATGTCCTCAATATATATATATATTATTTTTTTTTGGTTACTGAAGGTGTTCGGTGTTTGGACTAGCTTACATACACCTCGATTAGTCTCTCAACTCCGAACAAGATTTTCGAAACAAAGTAAATCCT